CTGAACATTCTCGTGTCAATCTTCACTGTCTCCTCCTTTCACTCTCCTCCCTCTTCTCCCCCTCCTCCTCCTCCCTCCTACTCCCCCTCCTCCCTCCTACTCCTAGCTGCTACCTGCAGGTCGTCCGAAGTGACAGCAAGCAGAGAGTTCTCGGTGTTCATGTAGAGCTGCAGAAAGTAAAGGACTGAAGCGAGAGAAGGAGAGGAAGGGAGGGAGGGAGGGGAAGAGGAGATGAGGGAAGGGGGCGGGGGGTGAGAAGGAGATGTAAGAAGGTAACGAAGAAGAACGAGGACGAAGACGAGGTGGGGAGAGGAGAATAGGAGGATGGAAATGTGCGATATTTTCAATTTTGTTGGGGGTGACCTGGTTTACTGGAGATCCGATGTCGAAGGTATGGAGTAGCTTCCTTTTGTCAAAGTCCCACACCTACTCAGCCCCTCAGCCTTTCCTCCTCCTCCTCCTCCTCCTCTGATTCTCCTCCTCCTCCTCCTCCTCTGATTCTCCTCCTCCTCCTCCTCCTCTGATTCTCCTCCTCCTCCTCCTCCTCTGATTCTCTTCCTCTTCCTCCCTCCTCACCTTCACGGTCCCATCGAAACTTCCGCTTACAAGCTCATCTCCCAGACCTACAGAACAAAGATTATGACAGGAAAAGGAGGAGGAGCAGGAGGAGGAGCACCAGCACCACCAGCACCAGCACCAGCACCAGCACCACCAGCACCACCAGCACCAGCACCAGCAGGTATGTACCTGACATGGCAAGACCGAAGATGGAGGAGGAGTGACCGAGAGGAGGATACGCCCTGCGAGGACTTTCAGAAAGAGAAGCGGAAGGAGCAAATGGAAATAGCAGAAAGATGATGCAAGACAGGTGAAGGCGGGAGGAGGGAGGAAGGGAAGGGAGGAAGGAGCAGGGGAGGAGGAGCAGGGAGGAGCGAGAGTTACCAGAAAGTGCCTCTGTGCTTGCCGGACTGCATGTTGTACTTGTCGATGCGACCGCAAGAGTAGCCGACGATTCCTTGTTGTAATCGTCAGTAGAGGAGGTGGACCAGGTGGAGAGAGGAGAGAAGAGGAGGAGCTGAAGAGGGAGGAAGAGGAGGAAGGAAGAGGGGGGGGGGGAGAGAAGAGAGGGGGGAAGGAGCAGATTCACCGTAGTTTCCACAAGGGGAAATGCAGACTGACTTGGCCAGGGTTGTCTCGTGACTTGCTTGTCCTCCTCGTTTCCTTCGCTTCTCCTCCACCTCAGCAATCTGCATCGCATCCATCAACTTGAATAGTCCACTCCTCTAGTTTATCATCATCATCATAATCATCATCATCATAATCATCGCATCAGCACCAGCACCAGCGCCATCGTTTTCTGCCTCCTTAAGTCACCTGGCCGGGAACCCGACCTCTCACTGCGAGAGGATCAGGAGGCAGGAAGGGCTCTCCCCGAGCATCCGCATCCAGCGCATTCTGACCGATCGAGTGAGAAGACGCATGACGAGCAAAACCAGATGAAGACATCGCAAGGAGGTGAAGCAGAGGACAAACACCAGGCAAAGGGCAGGAGGACGAGGAGGACGAGGAGAGCAGCAGCAGCAGCAGCAGCAGCAGCAGCAGCAGGTGGCACACACCTTATCCATAGGGGGAGGCTTGAGCACGTGCTCGCCGATAGCGTTGGCTTTGTACCTGAGGCAGCACCATGAGAGACCGAAGAAAACGGGAGAAATGAGAATGGGAAGAGTGAAAGAGGATAGGAAGACGGAGCAGCAGCAACAGAGGAAGCAGACGCGGCAGCGATGGCAGCAGCAGCAGAGGCGGCAGAGGCAGCAGGGGCAGCAGGAGAAAGAGGAGGAGGAGGAGCAGCAGCAGCAGCAGAAGGAAGAGCAGGAGGAGGGGGAGGGACCTCCAAGTGTAGGCTGCGTTGGTGTCGTGGTGGGAGGTGATGATGTTGGCCCAGTCGTTCTCTCTCATGGAGGAGAAGGCGAAGTCAACGACCGGCGGCAGCTTCAGCTTCTCCTCCTTGATGTCCAGCTTCCTTGCCTTCTTGGCCACGTGGCCCTGAGCTCAAGGTCAGCTCCGTGCTGCTCCAGCTACTTCCCACCTGCGACAGTTCGCGGCTCTGCTGGTCTTGGATGGTGCAGAAGACTCGGAAGCTCCGGTCGTAGCCGGCGGAGAGGATGGTGTGAGGGCTGACGACACGAGGCGTCAAAGAATAGAGAAGGGAGCGAGAGGGTAAGAGCAGGAGCAGGAGCAGGAGCAGGAGCAGGAGCAGCAGGAGCAGCAGGAGGAGCAGGGGGGGGGGGGGGAGGAGGAGGAGGAGCAGCAGCAGCAGCAGCAAATTACCTGTAGAACCTCACTCTCGAAGGTGGTTCGCAATGTCCGTTCCTGCAGCGGAGGAGGCGAGCAGAGCCGTCCTCTTGGTCAAAGATCCACACCTGAAGCATGTGAACGCGCTTCTTGAAGCATCGGACGGTAGGGGGATAGAGGAGTCAGAGATGCAGGCTTCAGGGAGGGAGCAAGAAGTGCAGGACAAGAAGTTGCAGGGAGACGAGGAAAGAGGAGGGAGACGAGGATAAGGAGGACGAGGGCAAGAGCAATGAGGACGAGGACGAGGACGAGGACGAGGGCGAGGGCGAGAGCAACAGCGAGGAGGACGAGGGCGAGGAGGGCGAGGGCGAGGACGAGGAGGGCGAGAGGTCAAACTCACTTTCAGCGCGTTGTCTGCGCCTGTAGTGAGGAGAAGAGGCTCTCCGCTCAGGAATCTGCACGTCTGTACGGCACCATCATGCGCCTGAGGCAGGCTGGCGACGAGCTGCTGCTTCTCGAGGTTCCAGATGTGGATGGCGCCGGAGGGGCTGCAGGAGGAGAGGATGGAGGTGAAGTCTGTGCGGAAGGAGAGGTCGTTCACCGACCCGTCTGCTTGCTCCAACTCCATCAGCGTCTCGTCGAATTTGATGTTCCTCAGCAGAATCCTCCCGTCCGCTAGCCCGACACCAACCACATCCACTGCGGGCGACTGGCTCAAGCACGTCACGGTCGATTCCTGGCGGTCAGAGTGAGTGAGGAGGCAGCAGAGGTGGGAGGAGGGTCACCAAGCTCTTGAACTGATGGACCAGCTTCTTGCTGTTCACATTCACCAGCAGCAGACTGCCGTCATCGAAGCCGATGAGCAGCTTGTTCAGGTACGTGTGAGGGTGGATCCAAGAGGTCGCTTGGGTGGTGGAGGCGACAAGACCGTCCTCGACGAGGCTGTAGGAGGAGATCTCCTCGTGCGTGTTGACATCGAAGCTCGCGATCGTCCCGTCCGAGCTGTAGGTGAAGAGAATCTCCCCCACGACCAAGAGCAGCTTGACGTTCCCCTGCTGCCGCTTCAGCTGGGCGATCTCTTTTCCGCGCTTGAACACATGCACAATAGGCCCGCAGGCAGCAAACGTGAGATCTCTGCGGGGAGGTTAGAGCGACTAACGTGTGCTGTTGATGCCCTTACTTGTAGACCTCCAAAGCCTTGATGCTCCTCGGGGTGGCGGGTGAAGAAACGAAGAGGAGACGAAGTCTGTTGCAATCGAACACCTGAAACCCTCTCTTCACGCATGTCGTCACAAAGTTCTCCGTGCCCAACTTGTTGATCACAGCCCTGCCATCCCCTCTCAGAGCTCCTCAATGCTTGTTCTGACTCACCTCTGAGGAAGCGTCACCACCCCGATGGCTCGGAAACCCTCCAATACTCTTGACCGCTCGCGTCCTGATTACACGTCAGTTTGGATTGATCCTTTCCTTCCCCTGTCTCACTCCAACTCTCCTCTCCAACACTCCATGCCCTCGTTCTACATTCCCCTCTCTCCTGCCGGGTCCTGCCCGGTCTTGCTGCCTCTTGTCCCCTCCATCTTTCCCCCCGCCCCCCTCTCCCTGTACCCCGCTTCTCTCCCCTCCTCCTCCTCCTCCTCCTCCTCATCCTCATCCTCCTCCTCCTCCCCTTCATCACCATCACCACCACTTGCTCCTTCACCTGTCGCCATGACGGCACGTGCGATTTGTGCCCTCGTCCCCGCTCATCCCTTTTAATCATCCCCAGTGAAGCTCAGCAGTGAAGTCCGAGCCTGTGTCGGAAGTCCTTCGTTTCGGGAGTAGTATTTTATTGAGGCGGGTTCCGTAGGCTTTATTCTCGTCCTCCCTTGTTTGCTCCGGTTTGCCTTTCTTTTTCAGTCAATAAAAGAGAAGTTTCTATTCGCGGAGGCTTAAATCACTGGTCACCGCCCCCCCCCCCCCCCGGGGACACTGAATGTCACTGAGCCTCGGAGTCCCAGCCTACCAGTACCACTGGGGCCAGGCTGACCAGCGGCGGTACTACTATCGTCATCACTCGGCCGGGCCGCCGGGCGGCCCGGTCCGATCATCGGAGTCCGGCCCATTGGTGATAAGGATCATCGCCCTCATACACTATCGGTTATTTCCGTTTCGCTCGAGGGACCGCGCAGCGGCGATGAGAGGAGCATGCGGGAAGGAGGAGGGGAGAGAAGAACAGCAATCCATGAAGAGGAAGGGGAGAGGGAGGGAGGGGAGAGGGAGGGAGAGGGAGGGAGAGGGAGGGAGGGAGAGGGGAGAAGGAGGGAGAGGAAGAGAGAGGGAGGGGAGGAAGTAGGGGAGGGGAGAGGAGAGGAAAGACAAAAATGGCAGAAGTAAGGGGAGGCTATGAAGAGAAATGGAGGGAAGCGTTCTGGATCAAGAAGAATTGAGGGTTACATGGGGAGGAGGGAGAATTGAGGGAAGGGGAGAGAAGAAACAAGGCATAAGCAAGCGAGGAGAAAAAGGAAATGTAGGAATTGTGCATTGAAATCTCGAGGGAAAAGATCTTCAGGGTATGAACCAATCGATAGAGAGATATCACTTTTGATTCAACTTTTCCTGCTCTGCTTTAATCATCCTAACGCTACGTATAGGCCATTGACAGACCAAGATGGGTTTCTCAGGTGACCTCCGTTGCAAACTATAATGTGAAGACTGAGGTGGTTGTGACAGATGCGGATATGATGGGGAGGGGAGGTAAGACGGGGTCCGGCCGTCAGTCATCGGAGAGTCAGGTCTGAAGTCCTTTGCGACAGCGGGAAGGGTCTGACAAGTTTGTCCGCAGGAGAATCAGATGCGACGAGAGCGCCTGCGTAAGCTTGCGCTCGAGACGATCGACCTGAACAGGGTGAGTGGGAGCAGGCTAACTGAACGACAACTGAAGGTGTCCAATCCATAGGATCCCTACTTCATGAAGAACCACCTTGGAACTTACGAGTGCAAGCTCTGCCTGACGATCCACACGAATGAAGGTGTGCTTGCTGGCCGTGCGGTGTTGGTGTGGTGACGTCCTGCAAGGAAACTACCTGGCGCACACTCAAGGCAAGAGGCATCAGCAGAACATCGCCAGAAGGTTGGCCAAGGACGCCTATGAGCAGGGGCTCGGGTTTCAGCCAGCCGCACCCAAGGAGATGGTTTGAGCAGATGTCGTGTCGCCAGTCATGATCCCTTTCATGCAGAAGGTGCAAAGGAAGTCAGCGAAGATCGGTCGTCCCGGCTACAGGTTGGTTGTTGTGTGTTGGTGTGGAAGGAGCTGACGTGAAGGCTGCAGAGTGACGAAGCAGCGGGATCCGGAAACAGGACAGCGATCCCTCCTGTTCCTCATTGACTACCCCGAGATCGAGCAGGGACTGCAGGTTCAGACTCCTCCTCTCCTCCTCTGAATCGCTCAGACTCCCGCAGCCGCGACACCGCTTCATGTCTGCCTACGAGCAGCGAGTGGAGCCGGCGGACAAGAACTACCAGTACATCCTGGTGGCGGCGGACCCGTACGAGACGATCGCGTTCAAGGTTATGAGTCCTCTTCCTTCCAGCCCTGCTCATGACTCGCTCAGGTTCCCAACCAAGAGATTGACAACTCCCCCAGCAAATTCTTCACCAACTGGGACTTTGACACCAAGACCTTCACCATGCAGGTAGACCCCAGCTGAGTCCTTGCTGCCTGCCCTGACTCACATCCCAATCAGATCCACTTCAGGGGTAAGAGGGAGACTGGCCCGCCACTTCCTCCCGGAGCGGCTCCTCCGGTACTGATCCTCCTTCTCGCTTTCTCCCCCCTCCCACTCATCCCCATTGCTCCCATACTCATGCTCCTCCTCTTGCTCCTGGACGGCTGATTCCTGTTTGCAGCAACCGCCTCCTCCTCCTCCCATGTGAGGGCCAGAGGTCAGAAGTCCTCAAGCTGCTCGACTAGTTCATGACTCTTAAATTGTAATCTGAGAAACTCTGATAAGCTTCACTTGGACTTGCAAGAACACTAGCTGTGCGAGCGATGGAGGGAGTTTGCCTTGATGTTCCTCTACATGCCTCGAGCAGAGCGATGAGACAAGAACATGCTTTCATACATGATACACCATAGAGTACAAGGAGAGCGCTAGTATTCCTCAGTTACGGTATTCATGTCATCGATCACGATGTTGAGTACCTGCTGGGGTGTCAGACGAGCAGGAGCAACAGGGGCAGGGGACTGCAGGAGGAAGAGCAGGAGGATCAGGGGGAAGGGCAGGTGGAAGGAGCAGGAGGAAGTGTCGAGTACCTTGAGCATCTCTCGGAGGTTCTGGTCGAAGAATTGAGTCGACACGACCAGCCTCTTGAAAAGCTCCAGCACGCGATCAGCTTGCCTGCGATACTCGGCGGAGGTGAGGCGGACGACGCGGTTGGAGGGGAGGTCTTCCGACATGATGCCCAGCATCTGATTCACCGGCTCGTGCCACGACCAGAGGGTCTGCAGGAAGTTGACGGCCATCTGCCGCACCTCCTCCAGCTCGATCTTGCCGCTGAGCTGGCTGAAGAGGAAGCTCTGGGTGGGCTTGATGTCCTTCACCTTGTCAGCTGGGGTCTCCTTCCCCGACATGATATCGTCGATGTTGTCCCACAGCTGCTGCACCTTCACCATCAGCATCTTCATCTCCATCAGCATCTGCTCCGTCGAGGACGCGATGACCTTGAGCTTGTTGGGGATCAGCTTGCCGCATCGCCCCCTCACCCAGATCTGGATCTTCATCTCGGTGCTCTGCTCCACCAGCTCCGTCACCCTCGGCAGCCTGTCGTTCTTCTGGAACTCCTCCACGTCCTTCTTCTGCTGCTCCCCCATCGCCAGCAGCTGCGAGTCTCCCATGCGCAGCCCGCCGGCCGCCTCGAGCATGGCGATAGCGACGGGCTGGTCATGGCGGTAGGCGTCCTCCAGCGGCGTTCCTCCGAGGTCGTCCACAGGGTTCACGTTGATGTTGCGGTCGGTGCATCGCAGCAGGAAGTCCAGGACCGTCACCTCCCCGTTGGAAGCAGCGAGATGAAGTGCCGTCCTCTTGTCCATGTCCGCGGCGTCCGGATTCGCTCCGTTCCGGATCAGCGCCTGGACCGTGTCCACGTCTCCTACCGCCGCCGCGTTGCACATGGCGACTGCCGTGTCCATCCCCAGCAGCTGAGCCCCAGCGCTCCTCAGCAGCGACTGGATCTGCACGTGGCCATGGCGCAGCGCATCGGCGAGCGGCGTTCCTCCCATCCTGTCCTTGACGTTCACCTCCGCCTTCTTCTCCAGCAGGTACTCCACCACTGCCGTGTTGCCCTGACTCGCTGCCAGGTGGAGGGCGGTCCTCGAGTCGTAGTTGCTCACGTTGATCTCGATGCCGTTCGCCAGCATCCGCAGGATCTGCAGCTTGTCGCCCGCAGACGCGTACTTGCACATCAGGATCCCTCCCTCTTGTCCAGGGAAGCTCAAGCTCTGACCCTGAGCCCTGAGTGTCGCAGCAACGGCATCCTGGCAGTGCCGGACGGCGTCGTTGAGCGCCGTGTTGTGGTACTTGTCCTTGATGGAGGCGAGAGCGCGGTGGGCCAGCAGCAGCTTCACCGCCTCCATCTGACCTTCGCAACTTGCGACGTGCAGCGCCGTCCTGCCGTTGGCGTCCGTCTCGTCGACATGGAGGCCGATCCGAAAGAACCTCTGCATCTTCTCCAGCTCCCCACGAGCTGCAGCCCCACAGAAGGCGGCGATGTGCTCAGCCTTCCTCCGCTGGTTCAGGTCAGCCACCTTCTGCTCAATGTTGGACAGGATGATGGCGTCGAAGTTGTTGTCGTCCTTGGCCGTGTGCTCGTAGTCAGTCGGCAGGCTCACTTCTTCGTCGTCCTTCTTTTCCTTGGCCGCCTCGTCCTCCTGCAACTGATCCCCTTGTTGCGTCCCGTGTGTGCCAAAGCTTGCATTGCTCTTCGCGTACCGGCTCGTTCCTGCTGCACTGCGAGCATGTTTCGTCAGCTGGAACTGTTTGAGCGCGTTCTGTGCGACGATCTCCTCGTCATCGGGGTACGCCTTGAGCACCGGCATGATCTGCGATCGCACCAGTCGCAGGCAGATGGCGCCCGAGCGGCTGCTGGCGCGAGCGGCGTTGATGTGGCGGACACCGAAGAAGAAGGAGAGGTCGCCGACGCTTCCGCCAGGCCCGACAGACTTGTCATGGATTGAGAACCCTTCCGAGTCCTGCACGAGCTGATCGACGAAGCCGTTGACGACAAAGTACATCTCATGCGCCATCATGTTCGACTGGTACAGGTACTCGTCGGAGCCGAAGTGAGCTTCCCTCAGCAGCCCCTGGATGTTGGCTTTGAGCTGGGGACTGCAGCCTTGGAAGAGCGACACGTTCTCCAGGCACTCGCGTGTCATGTTGGAGGAGATCTCCAACCTCAGAGAGTGGGAGATGGAGTCGAAGATCTCAGACGCGCTGATGAACGTTGTTCCTCCTGACGTCCCCTCGAAGTACCTCCTTATCTCCACCTTGAGCTCGTTGGGCAGGTCGAACCCCTGCAGGTAGCTCTCGACGGCTCCCAACTCCTCCCTCGCCTTCACCAGCTTCTCGTCTCCCTTGAGGACGCTAGCTGAGATCTCCCCGATGACGTAGTTGAAGAGCGTTAGGTTGAGGCAGAGCAGGAAGATGGTGTAGGCGATCTCCCCGTAGTTCTTAGGAAACATGTCCCCGATCACTCCGGTAGCTGAGACCGTGCTGGAGATCCAGTAGAGCGACAGCAGGTAGCGGTCCCATGTCCCCGAATGGTTCGAGTAGAGCATGCCGTACCCGGAGTAGTCGATGACCCCGCTGAGATGTATGCTGCTTGCCCGCCTTACTGCAACGTCAGCTGGGGAATACCTGAGAAGAACGTCAGCACGTCACTCATCACTCATCTAGCACTGACCAGGTGGCTTCGCCCAGCAGCTCTCCGGCTCCCCGCCGGCCCAGCAAGAACCACAAGCAGGAGGTTACGTGGAGGACACCGAAGATGTAGAGGGCGAGCTTGAAGTGCGGGTAGGTCATGTTCCACTTGAGGAGGCTCATCTTGGAGTCCTTGTTGACGCTGATCACGTACAGCATCTTGGGCAACCGGAACCAGCTGCACATCTCGATGCTCGCACCACTCAACCACCCGAACCAGTCGAGGGGAGCGGCGGAGATCAAGTCGAGCCAGAAGTCGTGAGACAGGTAGTGCCGGGCAATCTTGGTTCTTTCGGTGACCCATCGCGACCTGCAGTCAGTCAAGGTCAGTGACGACTGGCACCCTCAGTCGGCGACTCACTGTTTGTTCATGTAGGCGACGTTGAAGCATACGAACAGGTTGGTGAAGACGCAGATGTCGAGGAGGAGGTCGAAGATCAGGAGGGAGGGAGTCGTCATCGACGAGTATGGCTGGAAAGAGATCCAAGCTGGGATCTGCAAGAAGTACAACACCGCGCAGAACTGCTGTAAAGTCCTCCAAGCCCGCACGGGGGTAGAGAGGGGGTTCAGGGCCGAGCGCCAATCGCCGATGAAGAGACGGTCAGCCCTCAGGACTGTCGCGTTCTTGTCGTAGAGCACTCGCTCAATGTCCGGGAACGAGATGGAAGTCGCCTTCCTGCCGTCAGGGGAGAACGTCTGGCAAGAGAGTCACGAGGGGCTCAGGGAGCATCGAACTGCTTCACCTGCATGAACTCATCCACATGCACGTTGGAGATCTCGCTGTGGAAGTCGAGGAGGAGCAGCGACAAGAACGCAGGGACCTGGCGAGCAAGTCAGACTCACAGGTCCTGGGATGCTTGTCAAGAGAACCTGAGCTCGGGTCATGGGCTTCATGGTGTTGCCGACGATGGCGGTGAAGGTTGGCTCGTAGGCGTTGGCGAGATCGTCGTTGAGGAGCCAGGGGGTGATGGACTGATGGAAGATCGAGACCGTGATCTCCTTCAACTTCTCCAGGTATGTGCTGGGATCCACCTGGGCGATGGAGAGCACTGTTGAATCCCCGACCTTCTCCTCGTTCCCCTCCTCCAGCTCCAGCTCCTGGCTGTTCTCACGGACGGGAAGCCTCATGCGGAAGGAAGCGAACTGCGACTTTGTGAACGTATCGTTCTGCGTCGACTCAGAGTCGTCGATGTATCGAGTCCAGCGGGTGAACCAGTCACTCATGTCCATCGTCTTGGGGCAGACTCGAGGGTTGAACGTCGTCGCGAAGAAGTTTTGTCCCACCTGCGGCTCGTCAGGGGTAGCTTGGAGCGCACGATGCCTCTTTCTCACCTCTCCCAGGTAGTCCTTGATACCAGCTACCTCGTCGTACTCGACGGTCGGTAGACCTGCCGCAAACAAGTCCCATGCGCTCTCAATCACGTGAATGCCCTGGTCCACAAGCTGCTTCATGTTGGCAACGTCTTCGCAGTGGTAGTACTTGCTGCGCCTGTTGTTGATCTTTGCGATCCCTCGCCAGACCGAGACGATCAGCGCGATAAAGTTCACGTTCTCCGTCCGATTCGGCTCGAAGTGCTCATGGATGCTGTCCATCAGCACCTTGGTGTTGAGCTCCAACTCCGATATTTCTACCCCAGGCTCAGAGTCCCTCGGGTCCTGCGCCAGCTTGTGGTTGATCGAGTCTCTCAAGATCTCCTTCTCAAACGTGTCGAACTCGGAGTTCTTCGTCAGAGCATTCGCCAGCACAACGATAAGCTGGGCCTTGGCCTGTCAAGACAATCTCAGCGTCATGGTATCGGGTCAGCTGAACCTCACCTGGAGGATGACGGCGAGGTCGCGCTTGCTCACTTGGATCAGCTCGCACTGAGTCTGAGCTCTGATCATGAGGACGGGGGCGAAACCTGTTAGGAGCCAAACTTCTCCGAAGATCGTGTTGGGCCCGTACTCCAAGCGAAGGCAAATGTCCTTCCCATCATTGTGGAACATCCCACGAACCCTCCCCTTCCTCACTAGGTACATGCAAGGCTCAGTAGGCTTGATCTTTCCTCCTTCCTCCAGAACTATCTTCTTGCATCTCCAGGCGAGATACTGGATATGAGCAAACGAGAGGCTCCTCAGAACGTGCGATCGCACAAGCGTCGATAGCTTGACAGAGTTCTCATCGCACTCCTTCCGCACCAGCTCCCTGAAGTCCTCGCACTTGCACAGCAAAATCTCGGGAGTGAGCAAAGTAATCTGAGTCTGCGGGCCGCCATCCTTCTTCGAGTTCAAGGAAGACACGGCGTTCATGAACAACTCTCTGGTCTCCTTGGGGCTCAGGTCCAGCTGCATTCTCTTCAGCAACTCGGGGAAGGTCTCGGCATCGACGTACACGCCTCGGGCATATCCCGATCGAGTGCTGCTGAGGTGCGTCGAGTGCTGGCCAACAGCGTGGAAGGCAGAGGTAAGCGCACACCACATGTCCTCGACCTTACTGAGGTTCATCAGGCACTTGTTGAAGTCCTTGGCCAGGCTGAGCTTCCCGAATTTGCTGTCTCTCTCCTTCTTCTGCAGGTTGGCTAAGATAAGGTCCAGCTCGTCGTAGAGCGCCAGCGTGTCTTGATCGACGAAGCTCTGAATAAACTGCGATGTCTCCAGCCCGCTCTCGAGCTTCTGGTAGAACTCCGTCGTCTGGCTCTCGGCGCCCTCTTGTTTGATCTCAATCACTGCATGCACTCCAGTCTCCAACGGCCCGAGCTTACAGTCGTTCACCTTGTCTGTGATCTTCGCAACGACCGAGTTGCCTGACTTGAGCTCTTCATAGACTCGCTGCAAGGGTGTCTGGTTATCCAGCAGGAGGTTCCCGACATTTTGGAACAACCCAGTCATCTCTACCACGGGGTTCAGGAGGGCGAGAGATGCCTCGCGCGCAACCAGGAACTGCTGGACCGTCGGCCTCAAGGGTTTCTTGTTGTTCAACCCTTTGGCGATCAAATCTTTCACGACGTCTCTCACTTCCTCCATGTCCAACGCAGCAACTTCCTGCAGCATTCGCTTTCCCTCTTCCGTGTCTGCAAGCACTCCAAGCTTACCACCCATGGACTGCAGCAACTTCGCACACATCAGGTGGCGGGTTGTTCCACCACGAACACAATCATCCAATGGTGTTCCTCCCCATCTGTCCTTCACGTTCGGGTTGGCACTGACGCCCAGCAAGAAGTTCACCGCTAACAATCGTCCCTTCGAAGCTGCAAGGTGCAGAGGGCAGCGTTGGTCGTAGTTGCCAGTGTCTGAGAGAACTTGTGTCAGCAGCGGCCTCAACAAGAGTCGGAGCGAGCCAGCCTCACCTGGGTCAACTCCGCATCTATGCAGCAAGCGGAGATGCCGCACGTCTCCTTCCGTGGCAGCGTTGCAAATTTCGACAGGCCCTGTGGTCTCTGACATGTTTCCTCCTCTCGTGTAGATCTCTTCTGCTATCGAAACATGCCCCGCAGCTACCGCATCCTGCAAGGGAGTCCTCCCCCACCTGCAATACCAGGTCACTTGGTCCTCAAGCTCTCCTACTCGCTCACCTGTCATGGGCATTCACATCTCCTCCTTTGCTCAGGATGTACTCGACGAGCTTGTTGTGTCCCTCAGCGGAAGCAAGGTGCAATGGCGTTCGCTGGTCACAGTTGCCGACGTTTGGGCTGAGCCCATGCTCAAGCATCAGCTTCAGCGTGTCGAGATCGCCTATACTCGCAGCGTTGCACAATCTATCCGAAGAGTTCTCGGTATTGAGCTCTGACTTCCACTGTACGAGGAGCTGAATAACAGGCCCTTGATTCGCGTTCACAGCATCTTGGAGGGGAGTATTTCCCCACCTGTCTTTCTGATTCTTCTCAGCTCCTTCCTCCAGCAGAAGCTCAACTACTCGATAGTTTCCTTGTGACGCTGCCATGTGCATGATCGTCTTGCCGTCATAGTTCGTTGAGTTGACACTTACTCCCTTGCGGAGCATTCTCCTCACCTCCTCAAGGTCTCCGGCAGTGGCAGCATAGCTCAGCGCTAAGAATGACTCCTCCTGTCTTCTCTTCACAGTGTCTCTGATCAGATTTCTCATGAACAAGTATTCGGGATCCTCCTCCCCATCCTCAGCACTCTTCTCGTCAGACTTGTCATTCCCAAACTTGTCAAGGTTGAAACTTGCTAAGATGTTGTTGCTCACAAGCTCCTGCTGTTCAGGATAGTTTCGAAACAGCTCCTCTCCGGACTCTTTGCTGAGAACGAGGAGCTCAATGTCCGTGTCGAGGGGAGCGCGAACCGAGTACTGCTGCTGCACTCCAAGGAAGAAAGAGACATCTCCAATCACTGAAGGATCATCGATGTCTGAGCGGATGATACGCTTGACCTCATCCTCATCCACAACTTCTGCATGCCCATCAATCACAAAAGAAAGCTCGAGAACCATTTCCGACGCTCGAATGAACTGATCTCCGGGCATCAAGAAGACAGGTCGAAGGTGTGTCACCAGGTTGTTCAGGAACTGTGCGTTGCAGTGATAGAAGATGCCTCCCGGCTTGCAGCACTTCTCAACTGTCGGTCTGAACCTTGAGTTTGCAACCTTCACCTCTAGAGATCGCGGCAACTTGAGAGAGGCTGACGCCTTTCGCTGCACGCTCTTCTTGTATTGGAACTCAAAGTGCTGAATCAGCTTCTTCCTTACAGCTGGGGCGAGTCGACGAGCCTCAGCGAACGCAATCACATCTGTCATTCTCTTCTTGTGGGCCTCAGTGAGAGGATCTTTTTGAGACACTAGGAGGTAGTGGAACAGACTCCCAAGGATGTAGGCGGAGATCAAGATGGAGTTGTACATCACCAAAACACTCAAAACCATTTCGAAGCTGTTGTTTGGGACAATGGGGATGTATCCTATGGAAGACAATCCGTCGAATCCTTTGTAGAGGCACAAGAGGTAGTTCTGTGCTATGGTGCTTGAGTTCATCGAATACAAAGGAAAGATTGTATCCAGCTCATACAACCATGTCTCTTCCACCTGATGAATCCTGGCAGCCCAAAAATACAGAGAGCCAATCCAGTGACTTGCCATGGCGATGACGAGACTAAATTTTACGAGTTGAAGCTGGTTGACAGACACTTCGAGATTGATCTCCATGGATCGGAAGTATCGATATAAGCGCAAGGCCCTTGGGAGAAGTCTAAGAAACATTATGACCCACCAAACCCCTATGTGTGTTGATGGTTTTGAGATGCTTAAGAACACAATACCTGGAAGAAGCTGATAGGGGAAAACATGAAGAAAGTACTTCTTAGCAATGATAGTTCTGTCCTTGATATACATAGCATGTTCATTGCGACCTTGGAGACGGCTCTCATCTCCGACCATGATCATTGTGTTCAAGTAGATGGCAGCATCCACGATGAAGAGCAAATCGCAAGTCAAATCGAGATCAAAGATCCAAGTATTCGAATCTGGATCAGCAAACGCCAACCTGAAACCTCCAGCCCAGATTTCATAGGCTAGGGGCAACACAAAGAACATATGCCATCTTCCCATCCAGATATGGTTCGGATCAAAGAAGATGGATTTTGAAGTCACGGTCTTCTTTTTTGGTAATGAAAAACGGACTCGCTGGATCTTAGCGATGTTGCTGTTGCTTTCACTCTGAAGTACTGACTCATGCTTCAAGCACGACTTCCGCTTGACGCGAGTAGCTTTCTTGGCCTTGACTTTCAACCATGCTATAGTTTGAATCGTACTCAATTTCGTGGCCACGCTGGACATTGAATCAATAGAGAAGTTTGAAGACCTTCGTCGTATGCCCGCACCCCTTGACATGAGACCAGCGAACAACGAAGAACGTCGCTTCAACTTCATCGATCCATCATCCTCGTCCAACAAATCACCCATAGAATCTGCGCTGCTTGTTTGGATCAACTTCACGAGCCGGGAAGCCTTGCCACTTTGTTTGCCTCCATTCACTTTATCAATCGCCTCTTTCGACGAATATCCGTTGCCACCTTCTCTGTGCGTTAGGTTTCCATTCGTATGCTGCAAATCAGTACCATTGCCTTGATCACCATTCGAGTTCACTCCATCATGACCGTTGGGGACGGTCTGCTTGATTTCTTCTCCTTGATTCGTTATGTTCTGCTGTTTCTCTGTACCATTGGCGCCAGGAGGTAGCGCTTCTGCCTTGATTTCCGACGCGATCTCCCCATTGTTAGTGTTCAAACGCTCTACTTGATCAGAAGCCTTGCTTCCCTCTGATGCTTCATGTGTTTTTGATGTTTCATCAGAAGGTGTGTCTGTAGATGCGGCAGTTTGCACTTCACTGCCCTCAGGAGGCGATGTTGACGCAGATCCAACCGGTGCTAAGCTTTCTGTCACGTTCACTTCTCCCGCAACATGGCTGCCGTCTTGCAAAGACTGCTCCCCAGATTTCTTCTGTTCATCATCGTTCTCTGTCCCCATGGAATGTTCGACAGACTTTGATGGCTGCGTATCAGGAGTGTGCGCCCCAGTGCCTGTTCCGTTGTCAGACCTGTCAGTTGCAGCCTCAGGCGGGGTTTCATGTCCACTCAGTGCTTTATCCTCATCACCATCGATGTTCGCGTTAGCACGGTCTTCATGAACTGCCGTGTCATCGGCAGTCGTGTTGTCTTCGGTTGGAGGTATCATTCCAGGAAGCTCCCCGCCTCCCTTGTCCTCTTCAACCGCCTGGGACTCAGCAACCTTCATGGTTTCTGGCTCCTCGGACATTTCGAGCAGTTCTTCGGACAGACAGTCAACAGACTGCTGCTCTCGCACTAAACCTGTTCATGTACAGATAGCTCGCCTTCAGATTGACGCTGCACTATTTGCGCTCCCATGGCTCGAGATGGACCGTAATAAGCATGCCCCATAGGAGCATGCTTACACAACTCCGCATGCTGCACATGCAGGGGATTCAAACTTGAGCTGATCAGGAGTATAGGAGATCTGTTTGGCATAAGTTAGCAACCAGCGTGTGGGTAACTACAATTCTCTTTATGCTATCATTCTCCTATCATTCTCCAGTTGCTCTACATTCCGAGAAGAATGTTCTTTGAAGAACAATTGGTCTACCATATCCTTCGGGAACCCCCTTCTGGTACACACTAGACGTATTCATCTTTAATTTCTTGTCTTCCTGTCCATTCACTCATTCACGTCGACCCAGCTAGATGTGTCGCTGTCTTCGTGTACCCTCCCAGTTTCCCCGGCAGAATTGTTTTCTCACTCATACTCGCACTCTCACTCACATACATAAAAGAACAAACAAATGCTGTCTCTCTCATTCTTCTTCTTCTCCCTTGAACTTTCCTATATCTTCTCCTTCCTTTCCTCCTCCTCCTCACGTATTCTCCGCCATTGCCGAACAACTTCATGCTCACTACTAAAGCCATGCCAAAACCAAACTCAAACGACCCCACCCTCCATCATGTACCTACCTTCAAACTACCCCACCCGTCTTTTTCTGAAACCTGTGCTATCTGTTTGACCCACCCCCCAGGATTCCAAAAATACCCTACCCATCCTGATCCGTTAAAAAAAAGGACCAGGACTACCCCAACACACCACCCCCCAGAACACCTCGAACTACAACTTTTATGTTGCTCTCCACCCACCCCCACCCACATTTCTCCACCCCCACATTCTTCTTGCGCGCATCCTCGTACCACGGATTTTACTACCTCACCCCCACTTCGGATTTACCGAGGGATCCCCTACTGCACGTATCCACCCCCCTACAGAACATCCCCTTTGATTTCCGCTTACAGCACCCCCTGACAGAATTTTAAAACTACTTCTGCTCCACACCACCCTGGTAAATTCACCCCTACCCCCTTCCAAACCTTCATGACCCCGAATCATTCCTTGACTCTGGCCCCACCACCCCTACCACACTAGCAACTACCCCCTTGGCCCCCAACCGAACGCTCAACTAGCTGCACGGCCGGGTTCCGCAGGACTCGGCCCGAAGTTCCAAGTGACTAGGAGAGCAGTACGGGCCGCGGCCCCGAACCGGACGGTCTCCCGAACCGGCGGCCCGGTCCCCGGCACCGGAGACCGGACCGTATGCCACTCAGGTCATGCCGAGCCGTTAGTCAAACGAGGGCAAGAGCGAATGGTGCGGCAAGCCGTGATCGGACGATGAAGGCAGCTGCGGGCGGGGACAGGCAGTCTTAGGGAGAGCGAGTCGTGAACCGAGGCAAGGTTGAGACATGAAGAGAGGAAAGGTATGGGACAGCAAGAAAGTCAACGACTGGACGGAAGAGGAGATGGCCACCCGAGACCGGCTCCCCAACTTTGTGCGGATGCTTCGACCCCCTCAGAAGATTGTGAGCCGATCAGATCAAGCCAAGCTGCTCATGAGAGTGCCCGAGAAGCTGACCATCGAGAAGATGAAGGACCACGGGAGTAGCGCCTACCTCGACTCTCTGCTCGATCAAATTCGCGCTTGCAACTGTCAGATCGTTCGTGTGAATCGAGGTAACGTCAACGAGGATCAGATCGTCTCCATTGCTTTCGCCATCGAGTTGGCTCGAGCAAAGTCCTCGCAGGAGAGCAAGCAGATCGAACAGTTGGACGTGCACGCCCAGCACCTGTCAAGGGTGGCAGGTCAGGCTGCCTTGGGACGCACTCGTCCTCTAACCGTCTGACTCTCATCAGGCGGCGCTCTCTTCTCCGCTCTCGCGAAACTTGACAACCTGATGATGCTGAGCCTCGCCAAGAGCTCGTTTCCTGGGGTAGACATCCAGCCCTTGTCAATGCTGCTGCAGAAGAACACCTTGAAGTATGACGCTCCCTGCCCTTGTCTTCCGTCTCACCCATTTGAAAGGACACTGGACCTGACGCAAACAGGCATGGATGACGCGAGAGGAGAGGTCATTGCGAGCGGGTTGTACGCAAACACATCTCTCACCTCGCTCGGACTGAGTGCAAACAATCTCCATCACGTGCTGCTTTCCTGCTGATTCATGGCCGACCGCTGACTCAGGTCGGCAGGCTGGTGTTCTTGCGATCTCAAGGTCTCTAAGGCAGCACACAGCCATCCGACGGCTCGACTTGAGCCTCAACTTTGCGGGAGATCAAGGAGGTTTGAACGACTGACGCCTTGAGTTTTCAATCTTGTCCTGATTGACCTGGCATGAAGCTACGAGGCTCGCGGACATTCTGAGCGACGGGGCTGGCGTCCTCGAGGAGCTGATTGTTGAAGCTAACGGTGAACAAGTCTTGACGGGTAGAGTCGGGGGCTGACTGTTCACCGTTGCTGGCAGAAATCGGAAACAACGGGGCCGAGTCACTTCTCAGTATGGTCTCGCGCGAGGGTTCGGTCATAAAGAGACTTTCGCTGCGAGGAAACAACATTCGCTCCATCGGCCTCCCTTCTTGCGAAGCGATCATGGAGGCAAGGCACCTGCCCTTGTGGGCTGCCGTTGTGACAGGGAGGATGCAGGCCGAGCGACTAGAATTTATCGACTTGTCCAAGAACACCATCAGCAACGCTGCTCTGCTCGGAACAGCTCTGCTGCGCAGCAAGTCGATGAAGCACGTGGATCTTAGTTTCAACCGCATCTCGGACACGACCTTCGCTACGGTACCTCGGGCTCTATCACTTCCACCCTGTCCCTGACACCCATGAAGAGGAAGGCCGTGCGGTACTGGGAGACGGCAGGGCAGAACCCTTCGAACATCCGGCCGTGGATCCTTGATCTCTCCAAGAGGGTTCGGGGGTGGAAGGCAAGGTGCAGGTACGGTAGACTGTTGCTGCTAGACGTCACGCCAGCTCCACGGCGTCCTGGTCGCCCCTCCGACCCCAGCTGATGACCAGCTCCAGGCTGGAGTACATGGATCTGACCGGGAACAACATCACGGACGACGGGGCTCTCATGGTGTGGGAGTGTTGGGCCACTTGGATCTTGATGACGTGTCAGTGCTGCAGGTTGTGCGAGCTCTGATGCCGATCAGGAAGAAACAGTTCAGAGCTCAAACGAAAACAACGCCATCGCCTACTCGGAGGACCGGCTGAGATGGGTGCCTCCTCGTTTCAACCTCTCCCACAACTTGATTCAGGTAAGGGGGGAGGGGCCGTACAGAAAGCTCGGTGACTCCCTTGCGCCAGTCTGAAGAGCTGCTGGAAGCGTTGACGTGCCTAGACTACGATATCCCTAGTGCCCGTCAAGCATGGTTGAGGTCAGCGATGAAGAAAAGTTGTTGAGTTCTCCTCACTCGGTCTCAGATACGTGAGGAGGAGGAAAGAAGAGTTCTGGGAAAACTGGGATGGACGGTATGGATGGTCCGCACAGAAGGCAAGAATGGGCCACCTGATGTACAGGATGGCGAACTCGAGGTTGAGGAAGGGGGAAAGGAGGAGGGGAAGGGAGTGATGAGATTTGCTCTCAGCGTGGGAAGGATGATCAAGAAGGGGATAGGACACTTGCGATCAAGGTGTGTGATGAGGAGGCCCTGAGGGGAGGGAGAGCATGCTCGGAGAGATAAGAGGGGGCTGAAGACAGGAGGGGAGGGGGAGGGAGGGGAAGGCGAGGGGAAGGCGAGGGAGAGTGGAAGGGGGAACGGGGAGAGGAGGAGGATGTCGTGAATTGACCTCAAAGTTTCTGCAGTCTGCTACCTCAGGGCGAGTCGGAGTTCATGGTGGATGAGATCGAGCTGGCCGAGGAGGCGCACCGACTTCGCCGTGAGTACCTCTCGGTCAGCGCCTCGATCCCATGACGTGGGGGCAGTGGAGGAGCTGAGGCAGCTGGAGGAGGAGGCCAAGGCCAACGAGAGCAGGAAAGCGAAGAAGCAGGTGAGGGGAGGGCGAGGGCGGTGGAGACGGTGAAGCTGGTGGACCGCAGGAGCTGAAGGAGTCGAAGAAGGTCAGGGAGCTGTTGAAAGAGGAGTACGAGAAGACAGGAGACAAGTACTATCCCTCCTCCCTCTTCCCGGCCTCGCTCACCCTGTTCCAGGACCTTGCTTTCCCAGCTGAAGGGCAGCAAGGGGACTTCCGCCCTCGGAACCCCCTCCATGCTGAGTACACCTCGAAAGAATGGCGGGGGCTCGCGAGTCTTGTCGGCAGCTCCGTCGGGCGATGTGACTCCCAGCGGCACCAGGACTCCGCGGAAGGGCAAAGGATGAAGTATGTTGTCAATGAAATAGACTCCTCGGCGGCATGATGTACGTCGTACTGAGTCTTGCAAGGGAGGAAGCTGAGAAGATTTGTATCAAGTCCCACTCTTGAACTCCCGGATCGCCCAGGTGCCAGTGAGCCGCTCAGTCGGATTGAAAAAGTTTCGAAAGTTTTTCGAAAAGTTCGGAAAGTTACATGAGTTGAAAATATTCAAGAATTCAAAATTGGAGTGAAAAGGGTGGGTGGGGGAGGCGTGGTGGGGCACCAATAATGTCGCGATTTCGCGGGATTGAGGAGGAGGAGGAGGAGGAGAGGGAAGAGCGAGACGATGACGAGGTGAGATATGTCAGTGGTTGAAGATCTTCAGTTGCATGTCATGTCGTTATGTTGATCCTGATTGAACTGGCTGTGTGCTTCCTGCATGCTTATGTAGTCGGACGTCCTGCTCAGCATACACGTGGCACAGGTTTCGATGCATCCTTCCGAACAGTCTCAGGAGGTTGAGGAGGAGTCGGTTGTTTCAGAGGACCTCTCTGCCTTCATGAAGGAGGAGCATGGAACCATGTCCTACTCCATGTCCTTCGAAGCCGTGGCTCCTGGCGAGTCAGGAGGAGGGACAGGTTCCTTCACCCGCAGCGCTGCTGATTGCTCAGAGACTCTTTGCAGACGAATCGCATCAGCTCCACGAAGAGAATGCGAGCAGGATGCATTCATCGCACACTTATTCAGACTCCTTCGAGTCGGCAGGTTGACGTGATAATGGTTATTAATCACCTTACGCTTCATCAGATCTGAACGATTCCTCAAGAGCGAAAGTAGAGGATCCTTCCCCGTCCTTCTCCTCCTCTCTCGTTGAACCCTCCAGCGACGATCATCCCAGCCTTGTTGGCTTAGGAGCAGCGAGCGGAGCAGAGCAGCAGCAGCAGCAGCAGCAGCAGCAGCAGCAGCAGCAGCAGCAGCAGCAGCAGCAGCAGCAGCAGCAGCAGCAGCAGCAGCAGCAGCAGCAGCAGCAGCAGCAGCAGCAGCAGCAGCAGCAGCAGCAGCAGCAGCAGCAGCAGCAGCAGGACGAGGTTTACACTCATAAGCCTGAAGCAAGCAAAGCCAACCAAGAGGAGGAGGAGGAGGAGGAGGAGGAGGAGGAGGAGGAGGAGGAGGAGGAGGAGGAGGAGGAGGAGGAGGAGGAGGAGGAGGAGGAGGAGGAGGAGGAGGAGGGAGAAATTCTCGAAGATGAAATCGTTGAGGAAGAGTTTCTAGATGAGAGTTTCGAGAAGGAGAGTGAAAACGAGGAGGCGGAGCAGCAGGAGGAATCGGAGTCGAGCGGGAAGGAGCACAGTGGAGGGGTGAGGAGGGGCAGCAGCAACAATGAAGTCAGAGAGGGGAGTGAGAGAAGAGCGATTACAAGTGAGGGTAGTGTTCACCAGGCCGTCGGAGGAAGAGAACAACACTATGATGAGCGAGTTGAGGTAGGGAAGGCGTTGGGTTCAGTGAGTGCGAGGGAGGAGGGAGGAGGAAGAGGAGGGATTGAGCGTGCAATTCCTCCTGCTCCCTCCTTCCCTCGGACTTCATCTCCAGAGAGGACCCAGCAGACGCCCAGCAGCCGTTCCTCCATGAGGCCCTCGGACGTGGGCGAGCAAGAGTTTACAGCCGGGGAGATGCTGACCTTGGCGTCGAGGATTCGCAACGGGGAGTCAGTTGACCAGACTCTCTTCTCCCTCCTCTATCATCGCTTCCCCCAGGGCGCTGGTGCCACCAAGCGCTCAAGCCCTCGGGAAGAGTCCCTCCAACCTCCTCCTTCCAGCCCTGGTCTACCCCCACGGGAACCTCCCCGTGTGCTGTACCAGCGCTGGTCCGTGCGATCCATCAAGGACGGGCTTCTCTTCGGGGAGCCCAGGGCTCCTCCTTCGATCTCTCTCCCATCAGAGGACAAGGCGACGAGCGAGGAAGCTCGACGAGCTCTGGAGGAAAGCATCTTGAAGCTTGTCCTGGAGGAGGTAGCAGCTGGGCTAGAGCAAGAGGAACAATCTCCGATCAACGAGTGGACGCACGAGAATGGGCGCGAGGAGGGCGAGGAGGATGGTAAGTCAGAGCAGCAGAAGGCAAGAGCTGCTCTCCCCGATTTCCCCGGGCTGTTGGAGAGCAAGAAGCCGAAACAGACGGAAAGGACGGTCGAGCCGGCCACTAAGATTCCGCTGGAGGACACGAGGAGGAGAAGGATGCGAGAAGACGTGCTGGCATATATGGGCCCCGAGCATCGCAAGCTCATGATGAACGTGAAGCCGCAGCAGGACATCAGCGACCTGCTGGAACCCCTGGAGGTGTTCAAGCAGAAGCTGGTGCGGGAGGCTCTCGACGCCTCCTGCTCACCTCTTGGGAGAGGAAGTGCCTCGCTCAGCGAGCTCGAGACTGCTTCCTTCCATGCCGACGCATCAGTGAGGGAGCTGCTGGAGGACCCCAAGATCTTCCAGCTGGTGAAGAAGAGCGTGATCAGGAGGCTTGAGGGGAAGAGAAGATGAGGAGGGGCACAGTGTAGCGGTTCAAGAGGAATGAAGTTTAAGGAGAGGTTAGCTCTTAGTGCCAGCTGAAGTGATGGCCCGAGTTCGCCTTCTTCTGCCCATGTTCCTTCGCCTCCTCACGGGCGAACTCGGTCTGAGCGTTGTGACCGAATGCAGTCACCTGACACCAACCGCGTCAACAGACACAAGAGCAACTGCTGGCTGGACCTTGGCGAAGTCGCTGGTGATGCTCTGCTGAAGGGACATCACTCTCGCCTTGATCTCCTTCTTCTTGGCTCCATGCGCATGCTTGAACTCATGCACGAGCTCCTTGATCTTCTGAGTGTCGGCGATGAGGCCCTACATCACTTTCCTTGAGCACAAGTCGCCCCCACCAACAAGCATCACCGGATGCTTGAGATCCTCCTTCTTCGCCTTCTTGACTTCCTCCTTGGGAGCAGAAGTCTTGGCAACGGGATCCTTGTGCTCGGCCATCTTCTTGGCGACCTGCGATCGGTCACCCACGCATCAAGAAGCCCTTCTCAGTACCTTGAGCGCCTCCTTCACTGCTGATGACTTCACGTCCTCGTTCGCCGACGAGCTCTCGGGCTTGACGGTCTTGGCAGGGGTAACCTTGACGTGAGAGGACGCCGTGTGGTCTGCCATCTTCTTGGCAACCTGCATCCCCATCACCCGATCATGCTGTCCCGGAACCATCCAGCACCTTCAAGGCATCCTTGACAGCTGCTGAGTTGTGCTGAGCATGAGCCTCGGGCTTTGCCTCCTCAGCCTTCTCAACAACCTTCACCAAACGCAGGACAGTCAGGGAGAGGCAGCAAGGGCAGGAGAAGCAACCTTCTTATGGGCCTGCACCTTCTGAGCAACGTTGGGCAGCTGGTTGTTCTCGACGATCTTCTGCTTGCGCTGGTTCAACTTGTGCTCGTTCAGCTTGATGTGTGCGAGGCCGTTCCCTTGGGATACGTCAGCGGCCGCTCGACAGAAAGAGCGTGTCGTGTCCTCACGTGTCTTTCCGTTGAAGGCAGCCATCATACCAGCCGCAGTCTTCTTGCCGAACGCCTTCTCCACTCCCGCGAAGAACTCCTTGTCTTCGCGTTTCCTGCGCTCCTCCTGCGCAGCCTCCATTTTCTGCGCGCTTTTGAGCTCGAACGAGAGGTCGGCTGTCACGTTACCTGGAGCTGAGTAGTCCACTTGTTGGCAGCGTTCTTCTCATGCGACTGCTTGAAGAGGTTGTCATGGCTCCCCCAATGGCCATACCTAGACCAGTCACGTCAGCCGGGGGTGGTCGTGTCGCCAGCAGCTGACCAGTTCGAGCTTGACAGCGACTGCGTCGCATCGCCTGAGTCCCGAGAGAACTGAGACATCAGGTTCTGAGAGCTACAGGCCCAGTGAGGACGGTGAAAGTTCACATCTTGCAAGGACTTACAGGCTCTGCTGCAGCAGCCCCGAGCCTGCTCCCTTGCTCTGAAGCGCCACGGCCAGGACGACCATCGCAGAGACCGACAAGACCACAGCCCACGTTCTTCGCATGGAGAACTTGGCCTGCCCACCCCGTCAATTCATCGCTTCTTCTGCTCCTGTGCCTCTCAGCACCTGATCTTGGGAATTCGACGCGGCAGAATTCGCCGGCATAGCAGCGCCGTAATCTTGGAGAACCTAATGAACGAGTAAGCAGCGTGAACGAAGAGCTACTGCCATCAACTGATAGCAAATCTTTCTCCTGTCTCACTGCCCCTCTCAACGTGCGTATAGTTTACCGTGACACCTGTTTTCCACGAGCAGCAGGAAAACATCTCAACTATTCCTCAACAACGCATCGACATAGCCTCATTTTTCATCTACTCACTATTCGGCTTCAATCACTTCACCACTCATTCCATAGCCCTACGAATCCTTCGATCCTTGTCAACCACACGGACCATTCTCAGTTTGAGATCCCACCGTCTCCCTCCAATTCCCCTTCCTCTACCTTCCCCACGTTATGTCTCACCCCCATCCTCCCTCCTTCCTTCCTCCTTCTCTCTTGCTCTTGCTCTTGCTCGCTCTCCCTCCTCTGACTCATCGTTGGGACTGGGGTACTGACCATTGAGACGCCGCTGGACACGACGAAGAGACAGATTCATCCCCCTCATATACAGCTTCCCTCAACACATCTGTGGCCCACATCCCCAGCATACCCGCAATTCATCCCCCTCATTCGCGCGGGTTTGTTCTATCGGGCGACATGGCCGCTGGAACGCGTGAAGGGAGTTGAAGCAGAAAGTAGTGAAGGAGAGAGAGGAGGGAGAGAGATATGATGATGGTGATGGTGATGGTGATGGTGATGGTGATGGTGATGGTGATGGTGATGGTGATGGTGATGGTGATGGTGATGGTGATGGTGATGGTGATGGTGATGGTGATGGTGATGGTGATGATGATGATGATGAGAGGAAGATGGAGGAGAGAGATGATGAGAGTGAGGAGGCAAGAGGAGAGAGGGAGAGAAGGAGAGAAAAGGAGGAGGGAGGAGAGGGGAGGGAGAGGGGAGGGAGAGAAAGAAGAAAAAAGGAGAGGGAAGGGAGGGAAGGAGACACGAGGAGCGAGAAGGAGGCTGAAGAAGAGAGGAAGGCAATAGAGATGTACAGGAGAGGATATTAGAGGGGAGTTAGGAAGAGAAAAGGAGGAGTAGATAGGAGAGAGGAGAAAGGAGGGAGAAGTTGTAATCTCCGAATAGAAATTCAAACAGGACCTGCCTTTGCTCAAGCAATTCTGCAGATATCGCGCCAATGAATGAAGATAGCGATAGAGCTACCGCAAGGTAACCCTGACTTATGGAAGCGATTACAATCTGAGGGAAGATGATTTCAGACGATCGGTGCTGTCGACATGGTTGTATGTGAGCAACTTCAGGAGAGCTTGTGGTGCTGGGTTGATTTGCCGTCAACAGAGGCTCCTAGAGACAACGGACGATTTCGTGGATTCGTATCGAAACCTCTCAAGCTCGTACGATTGTTTCCTCTTGGATGTGCAAGTGAAGTTTTCCTCTCCACAGCGATTTGCTCGTGACCGGCGGAGTTCCGTTCCCTGTTGTCCTCGGAGCCGTTGCCATCGTCAAGAGCGGTGAGCGCTTTTCGACGTGATTGCAAGAGATCACCATCCTCTAGGACAAGTTGCCCACTACAGCCTTCAACGAACAGGAGAACTCACTTCAGCAGCACGTGGGCGCGTGAGAGGAGCATGGGAGAGGTATGCAAGACCCATCAGCAGGTCCTTCCTTGTCACCTGCGATGAGGGTTTCTGAAGTCTATGCAGAGGCATCGCTAAGAGTGCGAGACGAGGGTGAAGACTGTCGTGACTTGTCGGCTGTCGTTGAAAGATTTTCAGGGGCAGAGCCTTGAGATCCGGAGTGCGGGCGTCGAAGTCATTTGTACAGGTGAGTGATTGAGAATGACACAAGGCTTGTTTCATCGCAGTGATGTTGTCACGGCGAGTAGTCAGGGTACAGACTTTCTTCCAAGGCTGTGCAAACTGCTTACAGGCAGTGCTTGGTTGTCCTCCGCGTCGGCAGACAGTATGCACCACACAGAGGGACAAAGAGAGACAGAGTGTTTGAAGACTCCTTGCAGATTGGGCAAGATTTTTGTGAAGTTTGTGATCCGATCTTCAAAGTTTCTCTTGCGGTGAGGCCCATGTTGGGGTACCGATGTCATGACGTCATTCCAGCCACCTGCAGCATCACATCACTAAGACGATCCCGCGGGCCCTGAGGTGACGACTCTGATGTCTGCGGACAGCCGCAGAGATCCGATGTGCAGGTCCATGGCGCGTTATGCCCTGACGACGAGCAAGGCGGTTCTGCGAGGTGAGTGAGAATTTTGTTAGAGGGTGTGTGGGGGGGGGTGGGGTGCAGTCGTGGTGACTTGTGCTGGCAGTTTCATCTCTCCTCGTCGAGAACGCGTACCTTCACTCCTACTCCGTCTCGATGGCGATCTGGCAGTACGTGCTGAGGTGCTCCCTGTGACGCTTTTCCTCTCGTTGAGCCTTGGGTGCCAGGTCCTTGACCTTCACAGTCTCGTCCTTCAAGTCAGACCTGCACGTGAGATCTCCTGCCACTCTGAATCTCCTCCTGCAGGATGGTAGCGACCGGCTCCTACTTGACGGTGACAAGCATCGGAGGAGTGTCTGTGTATGTCTTTCAAACTTCCAAGGTGACTCGTCGCGGTGATGGCAAGGGCGTGATCGGCCTTTGATCAGGCGTTTGCCAACGCGAGCTTGCAGCTGACTCGCTCGACGGTCGTCTTCATATGGTGCTCACCAACGCACTTGAAGAAGTATTCTACTTCTCCCCCTCCTTCTCCTTTGCCTCCTGCTCTTCCTCCTCACTTGTTTTCTCTCCGTTGGTCCGCTCTTTTCCTGCCCTTCTCTTCCTCCTTCCTTGTCTTTTCCCCTCCCGTTCTCACACTCAGTGTTTCACCATCTCAGGCTCCTAGCACAACTGTCTCAGGGCGTCCGAGGGGCTCCGACAGCGGTCGTCTTGAACCTTGAGAATGCTCGACAGTCCGTCAATGTAATCTTACGAGATCTCCTCTCATCCCTGATGAGCCCCGCCAGAGCGTCTTGAGTACCGACCACCTGAGGCAGCTTCGGGAGGTTGGAAGCCAAGTATCTTCACCGTTCCTCGCACTATGGCAGCTGATACGTTTCCTTCAGCCATCGATAGACAGCAAGGACGCCTTGCCTGTCTTCGTCTTCTCCGCAAATCTTCTCCTTCAGGCTCAGTGAGCGTGCGGGTTGTGGGATGCTGAGCTTGCGTGCTGCTCAGGTGGGAAGGGATGGGATCATCGTATCCTCGTTCAAGGTGCTTCTTCCTCTCTCCTCCTGCTCACTTCTTCTCTTTCCTTGCTCATCCCTGTCCTCTCCCTCTCCCTCCTCCTCCTCCTTTCTCTCTCCTCCTCCAGCACCTTATCGTGCTCTTTGCCTTCAGGCAGGAAGGATGCTTCACCGATGGGCGGACCGAGTGGTGGACGTTGTACTGCCCGACCCCCACGGGTCAAGGTCTCGTTTCTCTCGATTCCAGTACAATGTAAGAGGTGAAAGGCTGAGGGCAGGGGCTCAGAGGATGCCACTGTCGCCGGCACCATCGTCAAGGTGGGGACGCGAAGTTTCACATACACACAGAAGGGCATCCGGTCGATTCCAAAAGTCACAAGGTGGGACAGCAAACATGCGCTACCTCGTACCGTCCCTCCTGCTCCTCCAGCTGAAGTTATCCTCTTGTTCCTGCTGCTCCTTCTGTGTTTGGGCTCTCCTCCTCCTCCTCCTCCTCCTCCTCCTCCTCCTCCTCCTCCTCCTCCTCCTCCTCCTCCTCCTCCTCCTCCTCCTCTCCTCCGTTTGTTTCGACCGAGCTCTTCTTGCAGCGAGCTTTCTTCTCGAGCCTTCAATCTGCTGCGTAGACACCCAGGAGCATACGAGCAGGAGAAGGTAGAGGAGCGGCAGGAAGAAGACTCGGTTCCAATCCTCCTCCTCCTCCTCCTCCTCCCTCCTGACTTGTCTCCTAAGGTCCGACTTCAGACTTGTCCAAATGGCCCTCGACAGGCTCTGGAAGAGGTCAGCCGGCTCGTCGCTCCGCACAGCCTGACGCAGCAGCAGGACTCTTGCTCGCACCTCCACATCCGAGGGATCGAGGAGGAAGTGGTGAGTTCAGTCCCCGCCCCCCAGCAACCCTCCACCTGACTCCCAGCTGGTCAGCATCAAGTCCTGGATGTCCTCGTTGACACCGTGTCGAGCAAGGTCAGAGTGAGCTGGGCAGTTGACCTCCTTGACAGCTTCGCAGTTTGTAGATTAGCAGGAGGACGTAGCGGGGTCGAGGAGGAGGAGAGCTGGGGAGAGTTAACAGCGCTGGAGACTTGTACATTAGTAGAGAATGAAAGCTGAATGACGGAGAGGTGAGAGTTGAGACGGGTCGAGCAAGGACCGCATAGTCGGGCTGAGGTGTGAAATCAGCGGCTGCTGCGATGGATGTTTCTGGACTGTCCAGTGCCATGTCATCCAGTCCAGGATCAATAGGAGAATTTACTTAAGAGCGCAACGAGAGTGACAAGGGAAGTTAGAGAGTTGAACATGAATATGAACAAAGATTACAGATTACACGAAGGAAGGAACTGGTGGGAAGGAGGAGACAGGTAACAAGACACCCTACAGCACCACAACGCAACCAGGGGGGTCGTGATGTGCACGCAGCGTCTGCTCGTGTCGGGGCTCAACCATGAACGGCCAGTCGAATGGACCAGAGATGCGCCTGTCAGTCAGCCGGAGCCTACAGCCTGGTTCCATGATCTCGGCCTCTCACTAAGAACGGAGCCGTTGATTTCAGACTTTCATCGTCTTCTGTTCAGGTACCCGTCCTAGATCGCTGAGAATCGTCGTCATCCTGTCCCCTCCTGCGACATGACAATGTGCTGGGTCTCTCCATCCTCTTCTTCTCCTCCTTCCCCTTCTCTTCCTCCTCCTGCTCCTTTTCTTCCACTTGCTCCTGCGCAGGTGTCTTTGCGTCCCGTTTCTTCACTTCCTCGCTCTGTCGTCACGACTTGGTCATCGTCGGCATTCCTCCGGTCTGACTCTTCCCCATCCTCTGCCTCCTCCTCCTTGTCTTCCTCCTTGTCCTCCTTCTCTTTCCCTTCCGCTCGGTCTCCTCCAACTTCGTCCTCAGCCTTTGTGTGAGCCACCCCCCCAACACCTTCGCGGTCCCCTCCCTCTGGCCCTCCGCTCGCTCCCGACGTTCCATGGGCTTCACCTTGCTCTCCTTCCGACGGATCAACGCCCTGCTCTGCCGCTCCTCCCCCTCCCCCTCCCCCTCCCCCTCCATCCTTTCCACCTTGAACGTCCCCTGCTCCCCGTGTAGTCTCCTCCTTCAGCTCGCATGCTTGCCCATTGTCTCCTTCCCGTTCATCTTCCTCCCCTTCCAAGTTGTCAGCCGTAGGTGCTGCAGCTGCCTGCCTAACACCTCCTTCATCCTCAGAACTTTCCTCTCTTCCTCCCTTTCCATTGCACACTGGAGCATTCTCATCGCCACGGTCGCTGCTCGTCTGAATGGTTGACTTCGTTTCTTCGTCCTTGTCCACCTCGCCATCGAGCCCTTCAACCTCCTCGCAGTGTCCATTTGCACGCGGTGCTGAATCTTCCTTGACACGATCACCAGTTTTGCCATCTCCTCTCCCTCCTCTCTCTCCTTCTCCTCGTTCTCTTTCCTCGCTCCCTTCTTCATTCTTATCGACAACTCCGTTGGGCTGCACAGCCACGTTGTAGAGATTCTTCTTCATGCCATCAAGCGACCCGTTGCCCTGCTGCTCGCACACAGTCTTCTCCGACTCCTTCAGGCATGTCGAAGTCTCTACAGACACCGTCGATCCCTCCAGAACCCTCTGCCGAGCGGAGCTCCGGGTCCTCATCATGTACTTGGGCTTGCGGATCGACTCGTTGAGTGACAGACTCTCGATTCGTTTCAGATGCTCCCGCTCCTCCTCAGACGCGAGGGTTGACCCTTCCTGCCGCTTCAGCGCTGCCAGCGCGTCCTCGCCCAGGGGCAGAGTCCTGATGTGGGAGGAGACGGAGAGGGGAGTGCGACGAGGGACGTGGAGGGGCTTCGGGGTGAAGTCCTCTGCAAGGATGCGGTCGTTGTAGTCTGGCGACAGGCTGGACTCCTGCGAAGTCTTGTCGACATCCGTCGTCGTAGACTTGGAGGACCCGCTGACCTCTACAGTCTGAGGAGTGCTGGAGCCCGTCGCATCCGAGTGCCCGGGGTACTCGCTCTCATCAGCTTTCTCCTCACTCTTTCTTCCCTGCCCGTTAGGAGCGACAGAGACGACCTCCTCGCAATCCTCCCGTTGACCGTTCTCGTGCCCTCGTTCGTGCGAAGGGCTAGCACTGTCTTCCACAGGCACTCCATCCTCACTCTCCCTCCCCATCTGCTGATTCCCGTTGCGTCCTTTCTCCACCTTCACCTGCAGAGATAGGCATCAGGTTGCGGCTTCCCTTCCGACTCTGCTCCACCTGGATCGGCAACTCCAACCCTTCATCCTCATCCATCTTGTGGAACCTTCGCAACTTGGATTTCACAGTCTGCAAAACATCTCAGGCGGAAAAATACCTCCTCCTCCTCCTCCTCCTCCTCCTCACCTTGAGCGGAGACCGAGTCGCCAGCCATCGGTAAACTACAACGGCGACTATCGACGCTGTGCAAACAAGGGCAACGCTGACAGAAATTGCCAGCGCCAAGGCATTGGATCCACCGGAATCAGCCGCTTTCATCGGAGCCATCTCTGTCTTCACTTTCCCTCCTAACGTGGAGACAAGCCTGACAGAAATCTGATCGGCAAGAACTTGTTGCTGTAACAAGACATTCTGAGAGAAAAGATAAGAGAAACGATACAAGTCAGCAGATTTCTTCTCCTCTCACCATAGCGCTGGAGTATTCCGACGGGACTATGAGATGGAAGACAACTAGGCACAAATCTTCGGACGCCTGGCAAGAAACAAATTGAGCACCAGCGAACAAGAAGAGATGAAACTGAAGTCCAACCTGCAAGATCATGCGGCCAGAAGACTTCTCGTGGTGAGACTCGATCGTCCTCAAGCTTGGCCGATTGAACCAATCGCAGGAGGTGCCAACCTCGTTACACACAGCATCGACTGTCGCTTGCAAGCTTGGGAGGTAGAAGTTGCTGTCAGCTTCCACAAGGCTTGCAACTGCTTCTCTGATGGCTGAGCTGAACTGTTCCAGGTGCATCTCGATGTGTACAGCAGCTATATGGACCTTGACGTATCCTTTCACCGACGTGAGGTTCATACTGGGAGTTGTTTGAATCGCCGGAGTCGTTTCGATCGGAGTGGTGGAAGGCAGGGGAGTGCTTGTCACAGCGCTGGTTGTGAACTGCCGAGAAGTCGTAGCTGCACGAGACGTCGTAGTCATCCGTACTGCTGTCGTCGTCACAGGGCATGTCTGCCCGAACCAAACCTCACAAGCTCCGCACGACTTTATCTGACGGATGCTCGTCTTCTGCACCACCTGCATCACAACAGAGGTTGCGCTCCTCCGTTCAGCTTCCAAGTAGATCGTCCAGCTCAAGCTCTGCTCGGCACACAGGTCCAGCTTGTCCGTGTCCGCAACAAAGATCGCCCAACCCGTCGTGCAAGGCTCGCCACATCCTGGAGATCCAGCCGGAAAGTCTTGCGCCACTTTCAACGAGGACAGCGAGGTGTCGGGCGACTGGCCAGGCAGAGGGCCAGCAAGACCATACCACCGGAGAAGGCAGGGGAAGAGTGTAGTGTTGACCTTCAGCGATAGAGCAGGGTGATTTGACGGTGCCCTCCAGGACACCACAACAGCATCTCCAGTGCAAGTTCCTCGTACAAGTAGCTGATAAGGATCTTTGCAGTGGGAATCGTTACCTCCACATATTCCGCACGAGTCGAAAGTCTTGTCACTGTATGGAATCCCATCACATCCCAGGCAGCTCTTGCCGTCGCCTCCACAAACCCCGCAGGCGTCAACAATTTTCTTGCTGTTCGGGATGCCGTCGCATCCCAGACAACTCCTCCCATTTCCACCACAAACTCCGCAGACATCGTAGGTCTTTCCACTGAAAGGAGCGCCATCGCAACCCAAACATGACCGGCCGTCTCCAGCACAGACTCCACAGACGTCCAGTCCTTTCGAGGAGATCCAGAATGGGGCAGAGCACGCGAGAGGAGAGTTCTCCATGAACAGGGTCTGATCAGTGTAGAAGCATGCTCTGTACCTGCCTGCCAGTGTAGGAGTCGACAAGCCATAGAACTGGACACTGGGTGTGGCCGGAACGACCACTGTACCTGAGTTGGAACAAGTCTGACCCAATGCGCAGATTCTTTCATAGCACATGGTGCATCCCGACACTTGCTCGTAGCAAGGAGATGTGCAAGGTAGATCCTCCGATTCCTCACTTGAAATCCCGAGAACTGCACCTTGCACGTACTGATTCGAGAGGACGTTAGGGAGAGTCCAGTCGACCAGCAGTTCTTGGCCTGCACAGTACACCTGATGTCCAGTTTTCACTCTAGCTTCCAAAGACAAGCATGATTGATCTGACGCAGATTTCAGCAGGAAGGAGAATGAGGACTTGACCACGAAAGGGATGTGATTCCCGTCCGAAGTTATAGGCTGGTGCTGCAGGTAACGCAAGTCATACGTGCTTGGGGACAACTGCAGGTCGACTTTGGCTTCACCATAACTTCCTGAGATGTTCAGAAGGACAGGTAGACATGCTCCTGGAGTGTATTGGAGAGGTGTGCCACCTTCACATAGGGCAATAAAGTCTGAAGAACTCTTGTTCGACGGTGCTGTCCACCAAAAAGCAATTTTGTTCCCGCATGCGAAATCAGCTGGGTAGGGGAGCAGCCCGACCTTGGGCGGCAAAGCGCATGAATCGTCTTCTCCTCCACAATTTCCGCATGAATCGTACTTCAAGCCCCCATCAGATCTCGCTACACCATCACAGCCCGTACAAGAGACGTTCATCCCACCACACTCTCCACAAATGTCAACCACCTGTTCACTAAAAGGGATCCCATCGCATCCAAGACATGCGTTGTTCCCCCCGCACACATTGCACTGGTCGAATTCAACCCCACTGTTGATGAGTCCATCACAACCCCGACAACTCGCCCCGTCCCCTCCACATACTCCACACTCGTCAGGTCTCTGAAGCACTTCGAAGACAGCGCTTTGAGCAATACGCTGGGGGCTCATTGACGAGCTGAATATTTGCATTCTATATTTCCCTGGCCGCATGGGCCTGAAGAATTCCAGCGAGCTCAGGCATCGCGAATCTTGATCCGAACTTCCGGGGATGCAGCTCGAAATCTGCTGCTGCGAGCTGGACCTATTGAAGAGCATCGACCCGCTGGTATCAGACTGGTTACGGAACAGCATGCTGCTCCCCAGCAAGGTAGATGGAGATTGTAGCGCTTGGAAGAGGTAGGGCGACGAGCTCCCTGCTTGAGATGGATCCATGAATGCCCAGCCTTGCAGAGGCCCTGTCGAGCCATCGCTACGAATCATTGCGAACCCGAGAATCGAAGTTTTCGCCCTGTCGGCTGGTGACAACCAGTCGACAAGTAGAGGGCTATCAGCACAAACGTCATAGAGGGGAGGGAGGATGACATATCCTCGTATACAGCTCTCGTCTGACCCTCCACACACACCGCACGAGTCCCTCGTCAGGCTCCCGTTCAGCGTTCCACCGCAATCAACACAAAGATTCCACCCCTCGAAGGGAAGATCGGTGGTGCACGGTTTGCCACCACAGTCTTCGCCATTATGGCATGGGAAGCCTCTCCTAGGACCTTCGGAGCAGGTGTACCTGGGTTCGCCGCAACGTCCGCAACGGTCAGTTCTGTACATACCATACGGCACACCGCGGCAATCCACACACTCATCCTGCCCCCCGCACACCCCACACTTGTCAACTTGCTTCCCACTGTTGATAATCCCATCACATCCGCGACAGGTGCTGCCGTCTCCCCCGCAGACCCCGCAGGGATCGGACGGGCTACCAAGGTTCTCGGTCTGCGTTTCCGCGAGAGGACGATGATCGTGATCGACGCTGGTTAAGTTTTGAAAGTAACGAAAGACGACAAGATTATTCACGTACGACTCGTACGTTTCCACCGCCAAAATACCTGTGGCATTCCATGGGACCGGATTGCTCCCGGTCAACACAAAATTTTGATTCCCATCCCTCAGATACATAACGATGATGTTGTTCGGTGCATGGCCGACAGGTGCTGTGTATTGTACGTACAAGGTGGAGCCAGCACAGACGTTCTGACCTAAAATTGAGAGAGAGTAGCCTTCAGATGCATGTACAGGATTGTGAGGCAGGTGACAAAACAGTGCCAGCACGGCAAACCAATGCAAAGCTGCGTTCCTTATCATCACCTTAGCGTGATCGAGATGATAGATGATTCAGTCCATGCTTGAGAAGCGACCTGAGGCCTTCTCCTCTCCTCACATTCCCTTCTCCTCCTTCTCCTCCTCCTCCTCCTCGCCAACTCCTCTCGTTTCCGCCATCCCCAATCCCCCGCGCAACGTCCATATTGAAGGGGTAATGAGGGCGATGCAACCTGGTCTCCCCACCTCAATTCAATTTGTAACGGTTTCCGAACGGCTGTTACAGCACCACTCAGCGGCGGCCCGGCCGCGGGCGGCGCCGGCCCCCCGGGGGGGGTCCGGGCGGCGGCCCGCCGGGCAAGGCTTCGGTTTCTCTGGTACCTGGCGGATCACGCTTTCACTCGCCTTCTTTTTCAGTCAATAAAGAAAAAGGCTCCGACTGATACTGGCTGACCGTGGGCAGATTTTTGATCATGGCACAGTTTCTCGCAAAATCTCCGAAAGACTCTACCAAGAGCCCCGGAGCTCTTACAGGGTTATCTCAATAGCCGTTGATCAACTTGAAGACAGTCCGTTCAAGGACCACACTGAAGGCTTCGCTGACCGCCGGGCAATTGAATAGCCCGGGACAGACTTGAAGAGGAAGACATGTCGGAGGCTCGGTTTGTTTACATATCATTTCTATCTACGTCAGGCTCTTACTAAGTCCCCCAGTCACTGAGGCTTCGACAAGTGCTCCTTCACTTTCTGCAAACAGATCAAGTCACAACAAAGGAGAGACGCAGGGAACTGACGGATACCTCCACAGAGGAAGTGAACTCAGAGCTGAAGGAAGGAGATATCTGACGAGGGATGTACAGTCAGGAGCAGGAGGCGAGCTGGAAAACAGCTTACGTCCTCTTCAGTGAAGTCGTTCTTGGGGATCAACTTGGTAACGAAGAGGAGCTTCGAGTTCCCGTCCTCCTCCCTCACTTTCCAAGTCAAGACGCAATTGTTGTACTTGGCAGAGGAGAGCGTGTCCTTGGGCCTTCGGGCATCGACAGATGTTAGGAGAGCACAGGAGATGATGAAGAGCTACGGTGATGAAAGGAGATGAAGAATTGGAGGATCTGAGAAACGAAAGAGATGATGATGATGATGATGATGATGATGATGATGATGATGATGATGATGATGATGATGATGATGATGATGATGATGATGATGATGATGATGAGAACGAGGGGGTGTAGAGCTCACCCGGTAACAGAGACTGAGAGCCATCTCTTTGAGGGGTTGAGAGATACCAAGGTTTCCTCCCTCTCAACGTCTGTCCACCATCCCTTCATGGGGACCACCACTCGCTTGCAGCCGAGGGAGACTTGACCTTCTGCCTTCACTTCCTTGTACACACCTGCTTCTTGCAGTACAGGAGCTGCAAAACAAGTTAGGCCCCTCTCTCCCTCCCTCTCCGCTCTCTGCTCTCCGCTCTCCCTCTCCCTCTGCCTCTGCCTGTCTTCTTCTCCATCCCCTCCCTTCCTCTTCCTCCTGCCCAATGCTCGTGTTGACACCTAAGAAATCTCCGAAGATGCTCCAGAGCTTATCCGCGCTGACGTTCTCAAAGAGCTCGGAGAAGTTTAGGATTATCTCCTTCTTCACGCGCGACCTGTCCAGGAATCCTCTACCAGCCGTCTGCATCAAGAGTGAGGGAGAAGGAGAGAGAAGGGAGAAGTGGGTGAGGAGATTGAGAGGATGGGGGGTTGAAGAGGTGGGTGGAAGCAGAGGAGGAGGATGACGGGGAGGATGTGGAGGCGGCGGTGCTGGAAGAGGTTCAAGTCACCTGGAGCTTCAGAGCCGCTTGCTGCATGGCTTCATCATACGACGAGTTCATGTCTGAGATCTGCTGGGCTTGTCCTGGAGCCTCCCCCGGCCCCTCGGCCCCTTCCCCACCCGCCTCCCCCTTGGCCTTCGCCACCTCCGCCTCCCCTCCTGCCCCTTCTCCTCCGCCCTGCGCAGCCTGCGATTCCTTCGCCTCCTCCTGCTTCTGCAGCAGAGGCTTCTTGGAAAGCGACTGCGCGTCTCGGAATAGACCGCAGTCGGCGATGTAGTGATCCAGCAGCGGCTTCTGGTTCCAAGGCTGAACCTGGGCCTTCCCCACGAACTTCACCGCCTTGAGGCCGTCAACGACTCGACCGAAGACCACGTTCTTGCCGTCCAGCCATGACAGCTTCTCGAGTGAGATGTAGAACTGACAAACGTTGGAGTGAGGGCCCGTGTTGGACATGCCCAGGTCTCCTGCTCCCCTGTGCTTCACCGCAAAGCTCTCGTCCTCGAACGTGCCCCCGAAGATCGACTCGTTCCCCACAGCTCCTCCTTGCACCCAGCCACGCGTCACGACCCTGTGGAACTTCGACCCTCTGTATGCGCCCTCACACATGGACTTGAAGTTCTGCACAGCCTTGGGCGCGATCGTCTTGTACAGCTCGATGATGATTCTTGGCTTCACCTCCTTCTCGGTCTCTCCATCTCTGAACGCCACGTCCATGAAGACAAAGTCGCACTCGGCGCTTCGGCTCTGCATGTAGCTGGCAAGGCTCTTCCTAGCCCTCCCAGCGTACAAGGAGTCCGGCGTCTTGTCCTGGTACTCGTACATCTCGCTTGCCCACTTCTCGAACTCCCGGATGCAACCGACGTACTCCCCGTTGCACAGCACCAGCGGCCCGCCAGCGTGCATGCGCAGGTGATCCCTTGCCTTGCCCTCAAACTTCTGCACCAGCTCGGCTACAGCAACGAGGAACTCGCTCTCGATCAAACTGTCCTGGCTGTAGGAGAAGGTCTCCTGGTGCAGCTTCAAGAATTCACAAGCAGCGATCATCTTGGCCAGCAGCGGGTCGTTGACTTTCCCGATGATCTTCAGGTGCTGAGTGGGGCCGGACTTATTGTAGTAGTCGAATGCAATCGGAACCTGGCTGTGCCAATCGATGTACTCGATCTCTTTGACGATACCGTCCTCAACGAACTGCTTGAACATGGACGGTTTCGTGACGTCGTGCTGCCTCTGAACCTCTAGCAGCCTCTCCCGGTCGAACAGAACGCACAGAAACAACGATTTCTCGCCAGTCGGGCACACAAAGGCCTTAGAGATGTCCAGGTACAACTGTTTGTGTGTTTCCATGAAAACTTGTTTCCACTCCTCGTAAGGGATTTGCAGCGCAAGCTCACAGATCATCATGGAGGATTTCCTCATGGCAATGCCGCCACCATAACCAAGGTCTAGGTCGATCTCATACGTCTTCTCATCTACATCTGTGTTGGGCGCGAAATCCTGCGACAAGTAACCTGGCAAGAACGCGTCTTTATCTTCCTCCCGAATGCAGAACAATCCGATGACCCCGGGCAAGTTCTTGACGCACTGCGAAGACATGATGGCTCTGACGGACTTGAGACGTTGGCACTGATCTTGAGCCTACACAGCAGACAAAAAACACGCGAGTTGTCAGCGTGGTAGAGCGCAGTTGAAGCAGGCTTACTGTTCCAGCATGATGAGCAGCCCACTGGGAGAAAGATGGGTAGTTGACATTGTGCTTCACAACCACGAGCTTATTCGGCATCTCGTTGTTCAGCTCTCAAGTTCTTGCAGAGTAGACAACTCAATGCGATCTTCTTGACATCAAGTTATTTCCTGATCAACCACTGTCAGCCGGCTATAACAGTACACTTTCATCGCAGCATGTCGATTCCTCTCTGTGTTCGATGATGGCGAGGTTTTGCAACGGGAGAGTGATTATACAACCTATCGCTCCTTTATCCTTTAAAGGATCAATCATCAAGTCATCAAGTCACATCACATCGAATGAGGGCTGATTTTCCTCGAAGCACGCACTCTCAACATGGGGAGGATGATGAAGTTCAGGAGTGTTAGGAAGCTCAGCCTGCATGCCATGCTCCTTCTGAGACAGAGATCGCAAGAATCAATGCACCGATCCCCACGTCTCCTTCTCTTCCCCTTCCCCTCTCCCCCTCCCATCTTCGCTCTTCTCCACCTCCCATCCACTGCATGGCGCTCTCAGGTTTCGTCTCCAACGGTTCCGGCCGTTGGAGTTACCGTTAACGGTAACTGCTCTGAAACCGTCCGATGAGCGGCCTCATATAAACAAGATTCAAGGGTGGGGTGCTATCAATTCTCTGCAAAGACCGGTACTTTACTATATGTTTCTATCTATGTCGACCAGGGCGGGTATCCAATTGTACAGGTGGGGGTTGGTATTCAGACAGCAGGATGGCCGGCTGCATGGCGTTCAGTGCGCCTGTCATGGCGAGCTCCTCATCGAGCTCTTCATTCCTCTTTGCTCCTTCTCCTGCATCTTCTTTCTCTCCCTTCGTTCCTCGCTCTGCTGCCTTTCCTGTCCCTTCAAGAGCCTTTGCTCAAGCTCCGGATCGCAAGTACGGTGGAGTTCGGATGCTGCATGCGAGCAAGGACGGCGAGGGGATGGGACGCAGAGGTTCGATAGCTGCTATGACGTTCGCTCTTGCGACTTCTTTCCTTCTCCCCATCGAGGACGTCAATGCTGATACTTGCGCTCGTAAGGAGTGCCAGCCGAAGCCAAACTTCCTCCCAGGTGAGCAGCGGTGTGATAGATGTGGTTTGGATGGTCAAATTTTCATCTCATTGACTATGCGCTCTCTTGGATGCTCTCTTCTTCTCTCTATAAACTCCTTGACTTCACCTCTTACTGCTTTGACGCGAGCAGAAGGCTCGTTGCCGGACAAGAGTGAAATCGTGAGCATGCCTGCACTCAAGGGCAAGGACTACGGCAAGACCAAGATGAAGTACCCGGACTTCGTTGCCACGCCCTCAGGTCTGCAGTACAAGGATGTCAAGGTCGGCAATGGTGAGAGCCCGGAGGACGGCGACCGAGTTGTCTTCGATTGGGAAGGATACACTATCGGCTACTACGGCAGAATCTTTCAAGCTAAGAATGGCGTGAAGGGAGGAGCGTTTGCCGACGAGACAGGTGCTCTCCTGTTCCTCTCGTTTCCTCCCTGCTCACCCTCAACAGACTTTCAACGCTGTGTCCTCGGCAGCCACACTGTGGTAAGGCACTTGCTTGCAGCCGCCGCGGTTCACCAGCTCAAACTTTTCTCCAGATCCCTGGCCTTGAGGAAGGGCTGAAGGGCATGAAAGTTGGGGGGATTCGACAGCTTGTCGTCACCCCTGAGCTGGGGTACCCCGAGGACGATCCTTCCCATACTCGGGTGCTGCACCCATGCGCTGATCTCAGTGATGGTAACCGGGTTGAACTCAGGTCGGCCCGAAGCCATCGACCTTTGACGGCCAGAGAGCTCTCAACTTTGTAAGATAGAGGACAAGAGGAGAAGGGGAGGAGGAGTGACTGGTAGTCCGCAGGTCCTGTTCAACAAGGGGCTCATTGACAAGACCCTCCTCTTCAACATCAAGGTCATTCGAATTGACAAGAAGGATGGCGACGGAAACTACATTAGAAAGGGAAGCTCGACTTGAAACTAAACTAAACCTGAACTAAACAAGAGAAGAGAGAAACGAAAACTAAACTTACACCGGTCCCCCTCGGTACCACTGGGAGTGGTGGGGAGACGAGTCAACGTACCTGCAGTCGTAACCCGGCCTCGACCACGAGTCCCTCCGATCGCGCTCATGAGCTGGCTCCTCCATCCTATCCCTGCCCCGGTAGGAGTCGTACGAGTCGTACTTCCAGGAAGACTCCCTGGGCCTCCGGTCCTCATAAGAAGCCTTGGGATGCCAAGACCTCGGAGGAGTGGGTTGCCGGTACTTCCTGGTGTAGCCTCTGCCGTCTCCCTCACGGGGTGCTGGATGCCTGGCCTTCCAGCGATGGTGAGGGTCAGGACTTCGATCTCTTGATCGCGCTCGTTCTTCAGCTGCTACAGGACGATGCTGGAGAGGAGACTGATGCTGATGCTGATGCTGATGCTGAAGAGGCTGATGTTGAAGAGGCTGATGTTGAAGTGGCTGATGTTGAAGTGGCTGACGCTGAACATGCTGGGGCTGAACATGCTGGGGCTGAAGATTTTTGGGCTGGTGCTGGTGCTGCTGTCGAATGTTCTGCTGCTGTAGCTGTTGAGATTCTCTTGCATGCGGCAGTTCGTCGGGTCGCTCACAGACCTCCTGCGCTGGTTCCTTGCGGTAGCGAGAGGTGAGCCATCCGATGAGTGAGTTGTTGCCGCCGGTGGGCTCGCTCACTCCTCCCACACCCTTCCCTTTGAAGAGCTGCATGATCTTGTCTGCAAGCTTCGTCTCATGGAGTTGGATCTGCTGCGAGATCTCCTCCTTCTTCTTGTCTGCCTCCTCCTTCAGCAACTTCGGCATCTGTTCCTGCGCCTGCGTCCCACTGTCTCGATGGAACATTTCCAACGTGTTCCTCAGGTAAGCAGGCAGGAAATGCCTCCGCGACGGCATGTCCCTGCTGGCTGCCGACGCGCTAGAAGACCACGAATCACCTGCTGCTGCTGATGATGATGCTGCCGCACTGCGGGGCGGATCTCTTGACGACGAGTCATGCGGAGCATCGGAGAAGTTGTTATGCTGCGAGGGTAATACAGAGTCGCGCTCCCTCCTCTGGCTTCTGAACTCTTGAGGTGAAGCTAGGTCATGCAGTCGCGCAGAGATATCAGGGCGATTACGATGACGGTCATCCCGCTCAGCTCCCCTCCTGCTGTCCTGCGAATCCTTCGCTGCATCCTGCAAGGTCGACATCGGCTTATCCACGTGCTTCTTCTTCGGGATTCTAATGTCCTCCAACCTGAGAGGCTTTTCCCGCGGCAGGTTGGGGGAAGGCTGGGTCTTCTCTCGCGCATGTTCCCTTGCCTTCTCTCCGCCCTCCTCCGCTGCTCTCAGCCTCTCGATCTTTCCTTCGGTCAAAGTGCCCAGTGGCTGTGGAGTATGCGGAATCCTTTCAGCTTTTACGTGCTCCTTGTTGCCTTCAGCAGTCGACTCACAGTCCGACCTCGCGTCATGATCGTGATGATTTTCATTCCAATCACACGCCTCGAGCTCCAGGCTCCTTTTCTTCCTCTTCGGATAGATTCTGATCCTCATCGCCTCCTCGTTCACTTTGAACTTCCAAGTCCGATCGGCAAAACGAAAATCTGCGTAAGGACTTGACGCCAGTCTGTCAATGTCACCAGATTTCGATGGTATTGACGTGCAAAGACTGTCATGCTGAAGATTGGAATCGTCCCACATGCCATCGTGACTGATCTTCCTGCGCTTCGGGCGTACGACAATCCTTAGCTTCTCTGCCTCATCCTCTACTCGGAACTTCCATGTCCGATCAGCGAAATAGTGGTTCTTGAACGGGCTGTCTTGATCAACGGCTATCGAGAAAATCCTGTAAGAGCTCTTGGTTGAGAGTCTGTCGGAGAGCTGCGAGATACTGCGATGTTGGTCTTCTCCGTCTTGACCAAAAGATGGTTCAGCACGAGGTTCGTCTGATTGACATGGACGGACCAGCGGACTATCGAAGACTTTAGGACTAATCCGAATCTTGAGATTCTCTGCATCTACGGCAAAATTCCATCTTCCATCCCGAAAATTGTACTGTCCAGAACTGCCTTCCTCTTTGGAGATTTGAGAAACATTGGAAGTTTGAGAACTATCCTGCATGTTGCTTACATCGACATGCGCGACAGAACCAAGAGTTCTCTCCTTTTGGTCCATCGCATTCTTGTCGCCTTCATGGTCAACAGCATGACAACCAGGTGAAGTCTGGGAAAGTTGTTGATTCGGATTTTGTTCATCGAGCTCCCTGTTGCCAACAATGCATGCAGATTGTTTCCTGGTAATTTCAAATTGAGATTGCACCTGACCATGATTCTCATCGTCCAAATGTAACGACTCTATCCTCTGAGAAACATTCAGCTCAACAGTGGTCTCGTCATGCACCCCTCCTCTCGCTACTTCGTCTTGTTTCCTCTCCGAAGAGGCTGGTTCCGACTTAGCAAGTACAGGCTCGAGAATCCTTTCATCGTCTTCAAGCCTTGATGCATCATGCGAGGTGTTGGGAGGTTCAACCTCCGTCATAGGGAACTTCATCTCCTTCTGCGACATGTAGAGCTCAATGATCTCAAACGATTCTTCCTCACTTGCCCTCGAACTCAAATCCTCCTCCAGCTCCTCTTCATCCATCAGCTGATCTTCTTGCTCTCCATTTTCATTTTCCGAGATTTCTGCTTTTGTTGTTGACGGAATAGAAACAGATTGATCTCTGTCAGGCTGGCAGCCATCATGAAAGTTGAAGTCGGCAGTAGGAGCAACTTCTTTTTCTTGTTCCTCATCTTCTGGGTGGATCTGTTGAGAGTTTGCGAGCATCTGAGCAGCCAAATTCAATGATTTGACGGGGCTGACAGACGAGAAAGCAACAGGCCCGTTCGCTTGTTTTGCAGGGGTTGATTTCTCGCTGACAAAAGGAGATGAGAGGATTTCTCTCTCTGAGTCATCTACATCGGCCCTGGAGGATTCACTGACAGGGGATGAAGGTTGAAGTTCTGTCTCCTGCACCTTTTCATTTGCGTCTGTCTCATCTGAATCATCCACTCTGACTGCAGCGGATACCTCTTGAGCTGGATCCTGTAGTTTGTCAGGCAACTCGTCAACTTGTGATTTTTCTTGCAAATTCTGATCCTGAGAGCTTGTAGGCAACACAGAATCCCCGCTCCCCTGACTGAGAGCTTCCTCTTGAATGCTGTCATTTTCCTTGTGAACATCTGTGATGACTGTCTGGCTGCAACTTGTTTCACAGGCGGCCTTCAAATCTTGAGAAAGGTTTCTTTGCAATCGCCTCTTGGAGATGTTCCGGTAACTCCTGACTTTGCTAACCAACACGGGGGAGACTCTCTCCTCGACAATGCTGTCGAACCTTGCAGAAGATGAATCAACACCTAGTGTGTTGTCAACGTTTGAGACTTGCTTCGGGCCCTCTTGGGCAGCTTCAGGCGAGGTCGGCGAGGTCTGGTTGCCGCTATCGAGCTCCATGCTGACGTGCAACTCGCTATCCTCTTCATCCGCATCGAGCTCCTTAGAAATCGCCTGCTCTGAACCAAGATGACCAACCTCGGTGACAGCTGTAGTCGTAGGCCTGTTGCTGTTATCTGACGTCTCCGAAGTGATGTCCGAATCATATTCGCAAGATGATTGTAAGGTAATGGAGTCGTCTTCTTCCTTCTCCACCAAACTCTCCTCCTCCTCCTCCCCTTCCTTGTCTTCGGACATGTCCCGAACCTTGTTGGAAGACCCTCTCCTCTTGGTTCGTTTTGCCCCCTTCTTGGTTTTCTTCTTCCGCTGCGTCACACGTTTGACAGCGTTCGACTCCTCAACAACCTTCCCGCTGCCCTCCCGTCCGTCGCTGCATGCCTCACAGAACCATTCTTCCTGCGGAACGCAGCGGAGAGGAGGATCGAGACACTTCATGTGCCATCCCTTGTCGCAGCGGTCGCACAAGATCAGCTCGTTTTCTCCGTCCCTCCTCCTGCAGACCTCACACTCGATGTTCCTCACGAAGGCACAGCTAGAGCAGAGCCATTCCCCATCCGGAATCTCCTCAAGCGCAGGTTGATGGCAGAAGATATGGAACCCTTTGTTGCAACCGTCGCACAACAGAAGGTTCTCCTCGTCCTGCCCGTCCATGCAAATCTGGAGCCGTTGAAGTTAGTTGGGATACAGGGAGCATGATGCAAAAATGTCCTTGAAATGCACTCACCTCGCACTTGATATCTTCACCAACATACAGGTTTTCAATCTTTCCGGGCGGAGGAGATTTCTCTGATGTTGATGCTTCTTCCGAGTCCAAATCTTCTTTCCAGCTCCTCAGCAGCTTTTTGTTCTCCGTTGTGTTTCGGGCGCTAAGGCCGAAGAGGTTTGAATATTTTTGACCTTCCAACTTCTCGCGCCTGATTCAATCAATCACCAACATGTCTTGATACCACACGACATCTCAAAGGGCTCACTGGTCCTGCTTGAAAGGTTTCAAGATTGACCGCATGGAGCTCCTAGTCTTGTTCTTCTGCTTGGATTTGAGATGCTACAGCAGTGGTCAGGATCGTTCAGAGTGTCCGTCGATTTCACCTGTTCTGCTATCTGATCGGAAGTCTTCTTGTGTAGCCCTCGAGTCCACCTGCCGTCTGTTTCGTTGGCCCTCTTCTCAACTTCAGCAACAACCTGGGAATGACAACCAAAATCAGCCCCCTCCACTCGTTCCAAGACTGTCATCACCTCCTCCAGCAAGTTGGCGAATCTCACGTGCTTGCCGTTCATTCCAGACATGGTTGAGCTTGAATCGCTTGGTTGATAGATGAAAATGCCGAAGGCGTCGCGCTGAGCAAAGGCGTCGTTTTTTGCTTTCGAGCCTCCTTTCTCCTTGATCCCCATCAAATCTAGAATCTCCCGTTTAGGGATTCTTCCCCTTGAGCAAGATCTCGCATCAGAACACTGCGGGCCATCGGACTCTTTGTCATCATCGCATCCTTTCTCAGCCACACTAGGGTCCTCACAAGTTCCATCTGCACAGGATGCCTCGGAGGCGTTTGATTTCATTCCCTCATGCTCATCAAGGAGGCTGTGACCTTCGATGTCTTCCTTCACCTTTGTTTCGCAGCAGTCTTGCTCGCTCTGCATCTCGATCTCGTATATCCCAGCTGAGGGGTCAAAGCTGTTTGCCACAAAGAGCAAAGTTTCAGACCCTTCGTTCTTCAGTTTCATCCAGATCTCAGCGATAGAGATCCCCATCCCTTCTCTAGATTCACTGTAGTACCAGCAGTCCAACCCAACCTTGCAGGGAGGATCGTGCCCGATCAAAACTTTGGCTAAGGAAGACAAGGTCCGGAATTCGTGCTGTTTGCCATTGCACAACTGGAGATGCATGCCCTCGTTCACAATCTTCGCCTGATATTTCTTTCCATCCAGCTCAAATGACATCCACCCATCGTTTCTCATCATGTTGCTCTTTACACACGTCTCAAGATCAAACTCCTCGTCCTGGGCATCAGCGTCAGACTCAAATCACATCACGCTGGTCTCGGCTACAAACCGGTTCCGGTTTTTGACGCTGGTTTCGCGAGTTAGACTTTCTCCTGCCAACGTTCTCACAAGATGACTTATATTGATCATTTTCGCTCTTTTGGTCTAGAAGCGTGTTCTCCTTCCCAAAGTGAAGAGCATTCTTATCGCTGTTCCTCGTTCTCCGCAGGAATTCCTTGTCGTACTGAGCCGAATTGAAATCTCTCCCCTTCTCCTCCCCTCCAAAGTCTCCTCCTGTGCTTTCTGCTTCAGTTTGTTCCTGATCTCTCTCAGCCCCAACAGAGTTCGGCTTCCTCCTGCCCCGATAGCTATGAAGTGGTGGAATCAGCAACCACCTGCACTTTGTGTTAACGTCGAATCTCGATGTGATGGAAAACTCACGTCCGGTCTTTCAGTTTCGAGTTTCGGAGAAGCGCAGGGTAATATCTCTTGTTGACATTGACAAGAGCATCTACATTAATGCCGAATATCTGGGGGGAAAGTTTGCAAACGATCGACCAAAAACCACACCGGTACCTTCGCTATCTGCTGAGGCGTTTCGTTCTCCTTGCGACATTCATACCAAGAGAAGGGATCCTTGATCTCATTGTATTGCTTCACTGCAAGCTCCACCTGCTCACGCAACGAAGACAAGATGAAGTCACACTTCTGAGATCTTGTAAAGCATCGAAAGGTTTGTCTAACCTCGAACTCCTCCAAGTCTTCATATCCCATTTCTGAGGAAGGGCGTCTGTTTTCGGAGCACAATCACATTGCGTGATCTAAAACTTGCAGGATGTTTCACCGAATATCGTTGATCGACACTTCGTCAAAGCGAATACGAAACAAAGGAGCCGGTTCTCCAGTAGCCTTAATAAAGTGTTAAGGCATAGTTTGGACATACAAAAACAAGGGCAACCTCGCTGTAGAAATCAGAAATGGACGCTGGTAACCAGGATAAGACCTTGAAGATGAAATGATAGTTAGAAATGAGAAATCCAGACGTTGATGTTTCATCTCTCACCACGCCCTTTCCGTAGCCGATCTCTTTGCCATCGTCGTCCAGGATCATCCTTCTGACCTGAACAACCTCATTCACGACGAAGAATCGCCAGATAAGAACAACAGAGAACAGGTCTCAATCATCCTCTCAGACTCATTCAAGATTTCAGGAAACCCCGGCATCGTTCGCATTGCCAAGTAAGCTTACCCGCTTTCCAATCCATTTGCTTCCTGTCTTGAGAAAATCCTGAGAGTCTTCATCTTCTCCCTCCTGACCCGACGCTTCCACACAGCTTTCCAGCTCTTCTCCTCTCTCGCTCGTCTTCTTCCTCCCTCTCGGACGCCCTCGGGCACGGCATCGCGTCGCCCCCCGTCCTTTCGCCCCCGCCATCCCCCCCGCTAGCTGCTGCTATCTTGGCCGGGTGCTGGTCAATCACAATCGGCTGCTAGGCACTAAAAATTTGTAACGGAAATAACGTTTAAATCCGTTGCGGTGTAACGTCTGGGCTGGCTCTTCGTCATGGCGTTCAAGGAACCGACGCAGGCGGAGGTGAGAGGAGGAGGAGGAGAGAGGGAGAGAGAAGAGGAGGAGAGGAGGAGTGTGGGAGAGAGTGGGAGGGAGAGGAGAGGAGGAGAGGAGGAGAGGGAACGAGGAGAGGGAGTGAGGAAGCAAGGAGAAGATTGCAATGGAAAGAAAGCAGATACAAGTGAACGTAGAAGAGGTAAAGGTTGTCGCAAATAAATTGGAAGGAATGAGCAGCATAGGTTTGATGTATCAAAGAAAAGGACTAGGGAAGTGCGATTGATAGCAACATGTGCGGTCATTTGCACAAGGCTGCAAGCTTAGAATATCTTCCAAATAATTGGAGTCTGTTGGCTTCTATGACTCGTATTGCAGTTCTTCACGGCCCTAGCCGTATTCGGGCTGGTGCTCGTGGTGACTTCGGTCTTCATGACTCAAAAACCACCATGGATGGCAGGAGAGGTGAAATATAGTCTTTGAGAACCTTGACAGCATGGGAGGGGATTGTTCTGAAGTCTCTGCAGGAAGCGGACCTTGGCGTTTCTTCACCTTACCAAACTCCCGCAAGCCCCCCTGATGAATATTCCGAAGAGGAGATGCAGGAGATGCAGGGCACTCAGGCCGAGAAGGCGTTGAAGACTCAGTCTCTAGCCGTAAGGGGGAAGCAGCGGCTGTTGTCCGGAAAGGCGGCAGTCGCTCTCGCAGCGTCACATCCAGGAGGAATGATTCACACAGACGATTCCTACATCACTGTTGGATCCAGGCCAAGGACTCAGTCTCTTGCGAGAAGCTCGAAAGTTTCTCAGCAAGCTAGACCGGTCCTCAAGTATCGAGGACAGGACCGTGTGGTTTCGCTCAGGAACGTTCAGCCCTCCATGTACCCCATGATGGGTCTTGCTGAAGCTCCTCAATCCTCCTCTACACCCAACCAGCACTTTGCTGAAGCCATCAGGAAGGTGCATGCTGGGGATGGCGAGGTGAGAAGCGTTTGCTGTGAGCGCAGCTTTGCTGACGTGTACGCATGAAGTACGTCGCAACTTCAGAAGGGGGACAGGTTTCCGTGCCGCCGATCACAAGGTTGGAGAACGGGCTTGATGACGTCGGGGGGGACCGGGAGGCGCACGCGGTCGATTCAGGTGCGCGCGGAGAGTCGGAGTAGACGGCAGCTGACCTGATGTTGGTGGCGACAGCGGACGCAGACCGATGGGCGTACTACGGCGCCATCTTCATAGTGTTGGTGGGGTCAGCCATAGTTCTTCTATACAACCTTCTTCCCAAGGGATCGATAGAAAGAGGTGCCGCCGCGTGCTTGCAGGCTGGATGAGACGCTGATGATTGTGCAGCCATGGCGGGAGACATTGGTGTGTATGACCAGTACCCCAAGGACGGGAAGTCCAGCGACTCCCAGGGTCAGGAGAAGGTGGAAAAGGATAACAGGTGGAGAGATTTGGCGCTGATGTTGATGCATGTTGACTTGTTGGAGCAGGGGAATGAGATCGTACAATGTAGATGCAGACACGAGCGATCGGGTCCAGATGTCCTCGATCGAGAGGGATCTGCGACTTATCTAGGCCTGCAGCTCTGTAAATATAGAACAAGGACTGACCTCAACAGCATACTTTATTCTCCATTAAGATGAGTGTGTTTTGATTGATGGACGAGATCTTTCAATAGCATAATCATTTCATTTTATGTATTCACCGCAAACAACCTCCTCAGCCTCCCTGCCTCCTCCTTCATCTCCTCGAACGTCCTGTCCTTCCGCTCTGAATCTTCCGGCACGTGCAGCTTCGTTGGACGAGCATCAAACTCCTCGATCTGCACATCATGTCACACTACATGCAAGGATATCCCTGCAACCTCGCCGAACCTTGTCGTACACGTCGTCGTTCCTCTCGAAGTCCCCGACCGCCCTCGGCAGGATGTGAAAGTGAACATGAGGGACAGACTGCCCGGCAGCCTTCCCGTCTTGCACAGCGATGTTCAGCGCTGAGGCCTTGTACTCCTCCTCCACCCTATGACCCACTTCTCGCACTGTCTTCCACAAGTCCAGGGACTCCTCCTCATCCAGCTCCTTCTCCCTGTCGACTACCCGCTGCGGTACCACCAGCACATGCCCGGGGACGATCGGCCGGAGGTTCACGAATGCGGCGGACAGGCCGGACGGCGACCGATAAAAGATATGGTCTTCGGGTATGAAGAACCGCCCGAACATAAGGCCGTCCTTGCCTTGACTGGAGGCACGTCAGAGGACAGCAGGAGACAAACTCGCCCTGGCACTAGCTCGATGACCCACATGTCCGAGTTCTCTCACCTTGTACTCATCTGGACGGCGGAGGAGGGAGGAGGTCGGGCGAATGCCGCCCTGAAGGCGGTAGCTGTGCTCCCTTGAAAGGCTGCGAAGAGCGTCATGGGTGCATGGCAGGGCAAGGGGCCAGGACGGACCGAGGTAGCTGAAGAAGGGGAGCTGAAGCCGGAGGAGCTTCGAGTTCCTCAACCTTGGAAAACTCATCACTAGGAAAGTTCATCATCATCAGTGGATTGTCGTCGAGTAGTAGAGATCGCTCTTAGGAGGCAAACAGTGTAGAGGATCGCTCTTCAAACACAAACAGAGGAATTTTCACTTGTTCGCCTCTGCACCTTGATGGGATCACCTATGCTCTAAGTTTTCTCCCTCTCTGTCATCCTGTATCATGTCTCCCTCCATGAATCCTGTCTTTCTCCCTCCATCCTGCCTCCCTCCATCTACCCGCTCTCTTTCTCTCTGTCTTCGTCTTCGTCTTCGTCTTCGTCTTCGTCTTCGTCTTCGTCTTCGTCTTCGTCTCTGTCCCTGTCCCTGCCCCCTCTCCCTCTCTCCTGCTTGTCAGTCCGACCGGAATGATCGTTCCGATCGTTCCGGAGTTCTCTCGTTCCCATGACAAACCCCTACCCGTCCGTGAAATACCACTACCCACTGATTCGAAATGGTACCCCTCATTCTTAGTCGAAGTTCATTAATCAAATCCGGTAATTTGGTACCACCATCTTTGCAGTACCCTCTTTTCAGGACCCACCCCGGGGCATTCGTGATGTCGTCGTCAGCATGGAGCGAAAGAATGCCGGGAAGGAGGAAGAGGAGGAGGGGAGGGGAGGGGAGAAGGGAGGGGAGAAGGAGAAGGAGAAGGAGAAGCAGAGCCAGAGGGAGAAGGAGAGAGGAAGAGGGAGGTGTCGAAGATCAATGCGAGTAGGATGATGGATGGTTCTGAAGGAGGATGCAGGCGATAAACTGAGGTGGGATCCGGATCGGGATGAGAACGAGGAGGAGGAGTGAGAGTATGTGAACTATCGACAGCGATCAGAACAAGAGGAAAGAGTGATGACTTAGTGGAGATACACATCTTACTTCTTCATGAAGAATCCATTCATCTCCACCTGAAACAACATGACCCTTTGCTGCAGGAATCTTATTCTGCCCTGTACAAGACGTATGATCAACTAGCTGTGTGCAACTTCGACTGACGATGGGAAGCTTCTGGTCTCGCGCATCTTCTCTCCTGGAAAGGGCCTTGAGCTCCTTCCGCTCGTCCACACGAAGCACAGCCACAACCATCCTGATAGGAGCAGCCATCGTCATCGTCCTTGGTATGGCGTGGATGGGAGGCGGGAGCCTGAGCAGCTACTCTCTTCCTCCTACGGCTCGATGTGCAGACACCACAGACATCCTGAACCCCTCGACCAAGATGTGCCAGGTTGCGAACCCTTGGGCCCTCTCCTTTCTCCGAGGGCAGGGCTGGTCTACTTGCGCCGCCGACCTTCCCGGCATTTCGGTGTTGCAGCGGCACCATGACAGCACGGGGAAGTTCTTCTACCCCTACAACAGAGCAGCTGAGGTGAGGGAAGTCTACAAGAGCTGCACGCCCATGTGTGCGGCGCAGGAGGACGCGTACCACTCTCAGCTTCAGATGTGTATAGTACGCTACCCGGCAGCGAGGATGTGGCTGGCAGGATACGGCCAGTCGTGCTCGAGCTCGAGCGAGGGCAGCGGGTTCATCTCCAAGGCAGAGGAGGGAGCCTCTCGCTCCCTCGTCCAGCAGTTCGTGTACGCGCCAGCAAACGCGAGGCAGGTCGGGAAGTTCTACAAGACGTGCAGGACGACCTGCGCGGTAGGGGATGGGATCATGGCAGACGGGAAGCACTGTCAGGTGAAGGACATGGACGCGCTGCGGTTCTTCAACGAAGGGAACAAGCAGTGCGTGTCGAGCGGGCCTGGAGTCTCCAGCATCTCCAACACCAAGGACGGAGGATACTTCTACCCCCTCAGACTCGGGCCCATCGTGCAGGCCTGGTACTTGACGTGCAAGAGAAAGGAAGGGATTCGTGCTAGCAGCAGCCGCTCGGGCCTCTCGGACAGGATGGGGAGTGGAGGGAGCATGGCGCAGGGGATGGGGGGGGAGAGGAAGCCGGCGCGCCATGGCGTGCAAATTCTGTTCCCGTACCCGAAGCGAGCAGACAGGATGTCGATAACGTTGTGCAACTACGCGGACAGAACATACTTCTACAAGGGCGGGAAGAAAGGATCCGAGAAAGTGGCTGTGCCAAGGTGCTGCGGAGGAGGCAGGAGGCAGGAGGCAGGAGGCAGGAGGCAGGAGGCAGGGAGCTGGATGGAGGCAGGAGGGAAGCAGGGGAGATGGAGAGGGAGGGCAAGGAGGGGAGGGCGAAGGTGGAGTGGGAGGGAGGAAGTTGACTGGCTTGCAGTGTGGGGGTTGGGGAGGCATGTATGTCGATTCCTCTCGATCAAGCATGCAAGGATGAAGTCTGCTGGGAGAGAGGCGCCGTTGCCCCTTGCGAGACTCGATCTTGTTTCCTCAACAGGTAACCTCTCCTCGCCCTCCTCCTCTCCTCCTCCTCCTCTCTCCCTTTCTCCTCCTCTTCTCCTCCTCCATTCAGCGCTTCCCTCCTCTCCATCGCATCAGCTCACCTTGACGTTTCTTGCAGCGCAAAGGCCGTCACTGCCGGCATTTCTGTTGTCTCGTCGGGTCAAGGAAGGTATGAGGTCGTCGTCATCGTTTCCTCCTCTGACTTTCCCCCCTCCAGCGCCGTCTGCACCGTCGTCTGTACGGCTTCCAAGGCTGAATGCAAGGTAGAAGACGGGGAATGCGCTGTGAAGGGAGAGGATGGAGGAGAGAGAGGAGGAGGAGAGGAGAGAGGAGGCAGGAGACGAGGAAGGGGGAGAGGAGGGAGGGAGAGGGGAGAGAAGAAAGTGGCATCCTGGAATGGCTGCAGCACGAGGCTGTTCTTCCTGTGCCTTCATTCTCCTTACCCCATGCATCCTAGACCACCACTGCTGTCTACATCGCCCCGGCGCACTGCGCGTACGTTCAGGTCAAGAGACTCAGCTGCTCTCCTGCTCCTGCTCCTGCTCCTCCTACTCCACATCATCTTCATCCTCCTCCATGTCTGTCCACCTTCTTTCATTCTTTCATTCTTTCATTTCAGGTTCTTCCCAGCGCAGTGGACCTCGTCGAGTTTCCTGCGCCCTACGACAGCATGGCGAAGGTAGACATCGCTGTCTCACAGTCTTCTCCTCCTTCCACTTGCCTTCTGCTGCTCACCTTCCTACACTTTCATGCTGCTTCTACTCCTTCCTCCCTCTCCCTCTCCCTCCTGCTTCTACTCCTTCCTCCCTCTCCCTCTCCCTCCTGCTTCTACTCCTTCCTCCCTCTCCCTCTCCCTTGTGCTTCTACTCCTTCCTCCATCTCTCTCTCCCTTGTGCTTCTACTCCTTCCTCCTTCTCCCTCTCCCTTCTGCTTGTCACGCTCTTCTCCTCTCAGGTTGTCTTCCCCTACCCTACCAAGTGGAAACCTGGACCAGGATCGAGCACACGGTAGATCTTGATCTTACCTTGTTCTTGCGTTCTCCTGTCTCCTCTACCTTACCTCTACTTTGCCGTCCTAACGCCCGATTCTCCTCTCCTCTCCTCTCCTCTCCTCTCTTCTCCCCAACCCACGCCTCTTCTGTCCCTTCCTCTCCCCTCCGCTCCCCTTCTCCTTCGCTGAATGTTCTCGCAGCAAACTCTCTCCCACCACCATCAGCATCTGCAATTGGGGCTATGAGGACTACTGGTTCAGCACAGGTTGGCTGACCTCAGCCGTCGTTCCACCTGATCCACCACCAGGCGACTCCACGGATGAGGCATGGAAGCACGGGGCTGGGCATGTGTAAGTAGAGGAAGAGAAGCAGGAGGACGAGGACGAGGACGAGGACGAGGACGAGGACTACGAGGAGAGGCGGAGCATGAAGAGGGAGTAGAGAGGAAGGAAAGCGAAGGGGGCAGGGTAGGGAGGGAGGAAGAGGGAAATTGGGTCAGCAGTTGCCTTGACCTTTCTCTCCCTTTCTCAGGCTTGTCAAGCCCATCGGTAGAGGAACGGACGGATGTGTCGTCGTGAACGCTGAGCAGCTGAGTTGGAAGAGAGGTGAAACAACCACCTGCTCTGCCCCTCCTGCCCCTCCTGCTCCTCCTGCCCCTCCTGCTCTGTCCTCAACTTGTCCGTTTCAGGTTACATCGCGCCCTGTCCATCTGGAGAGGCATCCTGTGCTCGTATCCTTGCACAAGAGGTAGTTCCCATAGAAGCAGAGAAGGGGGAGAGGGAGGGAGCAGGAAGCAGTCGAGAGTAGTGACAACAGGAGGAGGGGTCCGAGGAGGAGGGAAAGGGGGAGTAAGAGGTTGAGGAGGAAGTTTAGGAGGAGAAGGAGGAGGAGGAGGAGGAGGAGGAGGAAGAGGGGAGGGGGGGAGGAGGAGGTGGTGGTGGTGTAGGAGGAGGAGGAGGAGGAGGAGGAGGAGCTGACAGCATGGGTCAGGTGCACGCAGGAGTGAATGTTGTGAATCCCACGGAGGCAGGACAAGCACTGTGTAACGTTGAATGCGCGTCGGACGCGTCTGTCTGCAAGACAACTACTGTGAGATCGAGAAATCGTCCTCTATTATCTTTCTGCATGCTCTCAGCCATCTTATATCGATCTTCCTCCTTCTCACTCCCCTTGTTCCTCCTGACCTCGTTTGCTTCTACTCGCCTCCCCCTCCCTTTCCTGTGCCTTTGATCCTCTGCCGCTCCCTCACTTCCAACTTCATCTCCCTCCCCCTCCTTCCTTCCTCCTTCATCGTCCCCCCGCATGGCTCTACTCACTCTGCCCTCCTGCAGGTAATCTTGATCTCCCCGGTGAAATGCGACAAGGTTCACGTCGCGACCATGTGAACAGCAAAGACGTTCTCCCTACAACCCCGTGTAAAAACATTTTCATTCTCTGCCCTCGCTTCTCATGTCCTTCCTTGTATTCATCTTACATAGCCCCTACTCCTCCTCCTCCTCTCCTCCTCCACTGGCACCCCCCCCGCATCCCGCGGACTACGGGAGGGTGTATCATCGTGCTGCTCTCACAAGTCGATCCTGCCATGAGTTCAGCAGAGCACCCCCAGCACGACACAACTACCTCCAGCTGTTCCCCAGCCATGCCGGACTCCCAGTAGCTGCGGATAGGACTTGCTCTGGATCGCGAGCTGCTGTTGTCGGTGTCGACGCTCAAGGGGGAGCTGATGATGACGCTTCCTGCCTCCAAGCTGAGACAACGAGTCAGCCAGCTCACTGGAGCACGTAGCAAGGACAAAGCACGAGCAACATGTGCGAGAAGCGCAGGAGTGATGAGGAGAGGAGGACGGAGACGATGACGATGACGAGGAGGAGTACCACGAGGAGGAGGAGGGGAGGGAGAGGTGCAAGGGGAGGGAGAGGAGGAGAGGCAAGACGGTTACCTGCACTTCTAGGATGGAATGAGAGGAGGAGCAAGGTGATCGAGGAGAGGAGGAAGGTTGGAAGAGGAGGAGAATGTACATAGATGGGATTGTTGTCACTACTGATACAAAAGAATAGATGGGGATCTTATAGACAGACACAGGTGGCAATGTTACATAAGACAGTGGGATCAATATGCTACATCAGGGAGCCCAAACTGACTCATGATTTGATTGGGAACGTCGAACTTCGGACATCATCCGGGGCCGGGCCGGCCGGGCCGACAGTTCCGAACTGGGCCGGCGGTGGCCCGGGTTCGGGCCCGAACCGTGAACTGGCAGTGGGCCGGGGCAGTTTTCTAGGATGCAGCGGCAGTTTTAAAAGCAGTGTTGTATACATATATGATACAAATTGTATTGAATATGTAGATATTTTATAAATAACAGTACAACTTTGTAAACGTGGAAGGGAATCAGTAGCAAAATAAAAAGTCTCACACAGATTTGTATAGCGTCGCCTCTGTCGTAGTAACGAAATGGCGGAAGTAGGCGAGGCAAAGGGAGGGGAAGGCAGAGACAAGAAAGCAGAGAGGGAGATGGTGGAGGAGTGTGGAAGAGGGGGAAGAGACAGAAAGGGTGAAGGGCCAGAAGAGGGGAGGGGGAGGGATGAGGAGAGGAGTGAAGAGGGGATTGATGAGGAGATTGAACTGGAATTCGTTTTCCTTTGTTCGGTGAGCAATGGACACATCAGGCGAGACGCTAACAGATCTATGGAGATTTTACATTCACATGAGAGAAAGATGATGGAAAATGATTTCCTCATGTAATGTAGATGAAATGAATTTATGGCAACATCCCAAAGGGGCAAACTATCATTGAGAGCTGAGACTGAACCAGTACGTAGACCTGGCAACAACTTGTTGGCACTGAGACATAATCAAGAATTGAATGGAGAGACATGTCTTATAAGATCAGATACCAGTATTGAGCTAGATCAGACAAACCAGTGCTCCTTCAAGTGTTGAGCAATGTTTCCTCTTACGCTAAACATCCCAGTGTTGATATCCGGACACCGAGGATGTTTTGTACATAGTTGTATTGAAACTTTTCGAATCATACGGAATACTTTCTCATTTTACACTTTCTGTATGATGAATGTTGGGTACATCGGAACCGACAGTGATTGCACAAGAGTTCCCGACGCCTTCAATAATATTCCTATATTTCTTCATTTTCTTTTATCATGCTCACCCTCTCTGCGCACGATTCCTGATCCATTGCATTGATATCACAGAATGCCTAAAGCCTTCGATCCGATCGGAGCTGCCAACTTTGATTTTCCCATTGGGTCCGAGGTCTGCTCTTTTGGTTTGGCACTACAGCATGGATGAAACTTACGTTGCTTACAGAATGATGTTCTTGCCCCAGCAAACATTCGCGAGAAGAAGGCAAAGGATGCATGGCTCAAGATTATGAATGCAAGACACCTCAGGCATCTCCTCCGAGAATGCTATAGGAGGTTTGATAGCTCCGTTCTCTTCTGGCTCAATCCCCGTTGACTTGCAGCCTTCACGCAGAGAAGGAGTGAATCATAAGGACAACTGCAAAGAGTTTGCACAAGCTTACTTTGAAGGTGCATGGGACAAGAATATCTCGTATTTACAAGCTTGTGACTTGCATTTGCAACAACAGCCATCCAGCAACCTATGTTCACCGGAGGTGCAGGAGCATTGAAAGCCAATGCCGCGAACCGCCAGAAGTAATGGGGTTTGTTTATGAATTGCATCCGATGCTGACTGCTCCTCTACTGCAGGCACCAAGCTGAATCTGAACACTGAGGCTGGAATTTCATTTGCGCGTTTCAGCTGATCGGATAAAATCATTCAACGTGACGCAATGACGGCGGCAGGCGGTCAGTTATCCCACCGACCGTACCATCCTGGAGCATCGACGGAAAGCCTCAATCCAAGCCTTTGCAACCCTTCCCTACCGTACAGTGGTCGAATCCAATAAAACTCCAGCAATCGTCATTCATGTGAACAGCTCGGGGCCGCGAAACTTGGCAGTCACCGTCCGAGGCACTGAGCCGGGGCCGGGCCAGCGGCGGCGCCGGCGGCGCGGCGCGCGGCGCCGCCGCCTCAGAGTTACGGTGGACTAGCCGGCGACGGACCGTTCCGAAGTTCGCCACAGCCAGTGTGATGGCGCCAGCGGCCGGGCCGCACGTCCGCGAACTTCAGTGACAGAGTCTTCTTTACTCAAAGTTAAGTTAAAAATCAGTACGAGGACAATCAGGAGAGTCGAGGAGGCTTGACCCTGACACTGTCGCACAGGCCGCCGGCGTCACGGTCACACACTGCCGGGCCCTGATCCGACCAACGGACCGTGAAGCCTACCGTGAACAGTGTCTGGGCCGCCGGGCCCGCCGCCGGCGTGCCGCCCCGGGCCACGCCGGGCCCGGCACACGTCAATCATCCAGCCCCCGGCGTCCCGTGACTGCAATTTTATGTGGGAAAGGGTAGGGTAGTCATAGGGATTATTGGGGTGGGATGATCTTTTTGTGTCTGTTCCCGAGCAGTACCCCCTCATTCTCCTAGGAGAGCCTAGGTGGGTAGTTTAATAGATAAACGCCACGAATCTATCTACCACGGGTACTCTCCCTCATGATGTGACGGAATATGTGAATACCCTTCTGAACGACGAACTAAGTTTTCGCACAGAACTGCCGTCGTATGATTGAGAGCCGCGACTCTCCGTCATACAACGGCAGTTGTTTTTTTTTGCCAAATTGTCTTCGGATGTTGTTGGAGCCTTACATGAATCCTACCAAATGATGCCAGTCAGTCACTTCAATGATCACATGTCGTAAACATCGGATCATAATGGAGGCAGGCACCGGGCAGGCAGGCAGGCAGGGAATTAGGCATCGAGTCCCGAGGGACGCAGTCTGGGTAGGGAGGGGGCGACAACAATCATTGAATTCACCTCAGGGGCGACGTAGGTGATTCGGTCTTTCAGGAAACACATTGAAACAAGTGAGTATATTCAGTGCAGCATTCAAGTCCCTGGATTTGATCGGCTTTCCTTTACAGCTGTCACGATAACAGTTAGATGAAAAGGTGAATTACAGGAGTATACAAAACTTGACATTACCTCGATGATCTGCAAAATTTCAATCCTCGTACTTCACTTTTCCTTGTTTTCAACCTACAGGTCTCGTCTGGTTCTTTCCCTGTATTTTCAATCCGTCGAAGCACATCGAGCTCAGAACCACAATCGTTACAGCACTTGGTAGTACGGTATTCGTCAACATCTAACGACTCTGTAGTTTAAGTTACTGTCACGGAGTTGTCACGATGCAGAGCATCGGTCACGCTCATGTCACGTTGCATAAAACTAAAACACAATAGAAGGGGTCAAAATTAAATGGGGTGGGTTTGTTTAGTCAAATGGAGGGGTCCTCATATACGTTTGTCACACGATACAGCTCGAAAAGAATTATTTTCGAGACTTAAACACAGACATAGAATGACACGCTGACGTAAGATACGCTGATTTTCGTAGTAAAGATGAGAGATCACAAGGAGGCCTGCATCTGAAATGCACCCACCCTCCACTAGGTTTTACCGAAAATCGTTCAATTGCACCCCACAAATTACCCATCACTACCCCCATTTTTGATATTACCCCTTGACCCTACCCTCTCACCCCTCATCTCGTGAAACGCTCCTCTTGCTCCTCCAACACAGCCGTCCTCGATTTGCTCCTTGGCTGCCCTTCGACCCTTTGGTTCCCTGAGTCGCAGCGATTGGTATCTGAACACGCGTTCCTCGATCCCTTCACTCGTACTTCCCACCTCTCCTCCGCATTCCTAACGTTTCGACCCCTCGATTGGTCTTCCCTCCTTTCAATTCGTTCTCATCAGCTTTCCCGGTTTCACAGAAGGGTTCCAAGGATTTTTTTTCGCAGCAATTACAGTGTTGAGTTCTGCTCGCAGAATCTTCTTCTAGTTTGAAGGCTACTATTGAAAAGTAAGATTCTTATCGTATCGTTTCCGGTCTGTCGGCTCAATCGATTTGTTCGCCTTTGACAAGGATGGTGGATTTTATGGAAGTGAACTCAGCGGTGAAATTGTTGAAATACTCCAAGGAGGGGCAGAGAAGCTTCAGAGAGAAAGAAAGACATCAAGAATTCGCAAAGAGATTGGGACTGGTATCCTCTGAGCACAACCTCATGTTCTTCGACTCGGCAGCAAAACCCGCCGTGGCATGTCGCAAGGAAGAGGTCACCGCCAAAGAAGGCAACGACACTGTGCAGACGAAACTCAATGATGTTTACTGCTGGATAGTAGCAAGCATGTTCGTTATTAACGTCATCTTCGTCGTTATGATCTTCGTGTTGACTCCCAGGACGTCCACAGACACTTGCTCTTAGTCATGTAGTCTTGAGTCATTTTAACATCGGTTTTTCCACACCTCTTTGGACTTGTAAATACAACTCTGTATCATGAAAATCTGATTGCTCGAGTGAAATGGGTGCAATCGAGTTCTCCCATGTCGATGAGATAGATTTGGGGCCCTGCCTCTGTTTCCTGAAGAAGGTCAAGCTTGTTTGCTGTGGATTGGTAAATGAGCATTGTCTCAACGAATATGCATTCAGTGATAGTCAGAAGGATAGATAGTTTGTAGAGTAGAAAATCAAGATGTTCCCTCACTCGTGTATCGATTGAGCAAGTTACATGGTATGAAGCTGAAAGAAGCCTTAAATCGACTCGTCATACCTGATCCTCAGTGAGCTGATGGAGGAGTAACAACCACGGATCCAGCGCTGAGAGATTATGTATTGAAGGGTAGGGAGGGAGGAAGAAAGGATGACTTTCAAGGGCACTAGCGAGAAAGTGCCTAGACTGCACACTGAGGCAGTTCGGAAGCGGCAGAGACGGCAACATGAGCGCCATGGAGAAAAATTTCAATGGAGAAGAAACTATGGCAATCGTCTCCACTATCGGCAGCTCATGTAGAAACACTGACCTCTCCTACACTTGTCACGATGCTCTACGTCTGACGCCAGCAGAGGTGGTGAGCTCGACTCTTATCCCCCTCGTTGCCTTCCTGGGTGGGACCGACTGGAAATGAACCAGCAGGGCCCTAAACACTGGGTACCCGGGGGTGTGGGGGGCATGGGGAAGGGAGCCAGGAGCCAGGAGCCAGGAGCCAGGAGCCAGGAGCCAGGAGCCAGGAGCCAGGAGCCAGGAGCCAGGAGCCAGGAGCTAGGAGGGGGAAGCATCAACGATCAACACGTGGAACTGAGGGAAGATAACATTTCCGGGTACGCCCTCGGATTGAGGATGAGATGAAGCAAGAAAAGATGAGGGCTTGATCGGGATAGTAGCTGAAGCGTCATGCATGAGACTTCAAGGTCGCTCGATTCATCCTTGCAAACTCCCACAGGGGAGCGTTCTGGCAGGGCGTCTGCACTGCGCAAGAAGCTAGAAGCTCATCAGGAGCTGATTTCCTACCATGCGGACGAGATCCAGAGGTCAAAGAAAGACCTGGAGGCCATGGAGGAAGAGATCGCCGCGCTCGAAGCGAGTCGAGCGAGGGAGCAGGAAACTCTCCGACTCCTCCAAGTCAAGCTGGACGAGGCCGAGATGGAGCAGCTCAAGGCAGACAGGGATTCAGGTCTGCCCGACCTCACCTCCTCTTTCTCGCACTTTTCCGTCACTGACGTCTGAGCTCTCGCAGACAGGGACAAACTTCGCCTCCTGCGATCGAAAGAAATCATGGAGATGAGGCGAATGAAGAAGACCCAAGTGGAGAAGCTGCTCGCTCCTCTTCTGCTGACAGCGAGGGAGCTGCAGCGCAAGCTTGAGGTGGCGAAGATGGAGATTGACGAGAGGGAGGGAGAGAGTCTCAAGACTCGTCAGCAGCTGATCTCGCTCTCCCAGCAAGACTTCCAGCTGCAGACTGAACACGAGCATCTCCTGGAGCGAGACCTGGACTTGTCGAGGCAGAGGGAACTGGGGTACCAGGAGCTCAACAGCGCGAGAGAGGCCTACAAACAAGCAGTTGATCTCATCGTGGAACAAGCTTACTCCGATCACTACTTCTCGCGCTCCTTCCAAGACGCGCAACCCTCCGTTGTGGACGGCACTGTGTTGGAGCATGTGGGCAACTTGAGGCGGCAGGAGGCGTCGCTGTGGGGATCGAGAGGCGTCGGGCGACCTCTGATGGAGCTGATAATGCAGGAGCTGATTCACCAGGTGGAGTGCTTGGAGGCTGAAGAAGTTGCAGCCAGACTTGACAAGGTGAGACTGTTGCTGGGCCCCAGCAAGGGCTTGACGATGCGGCAGCTTGTCAAACTTGTGCTGGTGGTGTCGGTGTGATGGGCTAGTGCAGGTGGCAGCAGAACACCGGATGGTGCATACCAAGTTCCTTGATAGCAGCGTCGTCAACGAGCGCGCGCTGCGGTCGACTGAGGAGGGAAGACGTGCGGCTGCGAGGCTGATGAAGGAGCAGGAGGCAGTCCAACTCAGGTGAGCAAGCGGCTGTTGGCGATACAAGTGAGACCTGAGACGAGGACTTCAGAGTCGACAAGCTCTCTAGTGACTTGGAGGAGGCGAGCAGGAAGTTTGATGAGGCAGCGGAGGAGGCGAAGGAGATGGAAGGGCTGGCAAGAGCAAGCGCCCTCGCCGTCTCTCAGGCTGTCAAACAATGTGGAGAAGCGAGACAGGCCTTGACGAGGCAAGAAGCCAAGGTCGCAGAGCTAGAGAGAGAGATGGAGGCTCTCAGAAGGAAGACAGAGGAACTGCAGAACAACTTGAGGGAACAAACAAGGCTGAGGACCGAGATCGAACTGTCTTGCAAAGAAATCGTCGACAAGCTAAGTGACTTGGAGGTTGATGTTCAGACCCAAGTAAGAGAACATGACATGGCAGCATGTCCCTCCCCTCAGTCTCCTACCAAACAAGGTGGTCTGCAAGAGACAGAAGCAGAGACGAGAGATAAAGGCATCGCTGACGAAGGAGCTCGTGGAGTTCTCGAGCAGTCGACAGCGAGGGATCAGCAGCAGCAGCAGCAGCAGCAGCAGCAGCAGCAGCAGCAGCAGCAGCAGCAGAGGGAGAGGTACAGCGTTCACAAACGTGCGCTCGTTCATTGTCTCTTGGCGGACGAGAGGAGGCTAACGGGGGTCGGGCGCAATGGGGGGCATCTCTCCTCGCTCCGAGATACCACTCTCTCCGACTACATCCATGGCTCCGTCGCCATGCAAGCCGCTTCCCGCTCTCTGTCGGACGCATCACAAAGGTTCCTCACTTTCGATCGCCCCTCCAGTGCGTTCCAGGTACTCCCAAGAGCCGATGCTTGTCCTGTTCCCCATTCTGACTCCCGTCCTCTTGCGATCAGGTCGCCAACTCAGGACGGACGCTGATACACTCTCCCTGCTGTCCTCTCCTCTCCTCATCCCCACTTGACTCTCCGCCCAAGAGATCGACGGAGAGACACACGGCCTTGTGCTCGACGGCTTTCTCCGAGGGGAGGCACGTCTGCAAGGTCAAGATAGAGCGCCTGCGGGGAAAGGGGCTCCTCCATTTGGGGTGTATGCGGCCGGCGGCGGCTCCTGGTCCTTCGGCGAGAGGGAGAGCTGGACTGGAGGTGGAGGAAGACGGCAACTCGTGGTGGCTGTCTTCTGACGGCTGCCTGATGCGCGATGGCTCCATCCTCGGGTTCGTCGGGGCGGACATGAAGGAGGGGGACGAGATCTTGTGCTGTATGGACTTCAGCTCAGACGTCCTGTCGTTCTGGAGAGCGCATGAGCGGCTGGGGGGCGAGGTGAAGGGTCTTCGAGGCCCCTTGCACCTGGCTGTGTGCGTGGAGGGAGCAGGAAGCGACTGCGTCGTCACTTTGTCGGGACATCAACTCCTTTGACGCCGCGCGCGCCGCACTGGCTGATGGCTGAGTGCCGCCGCCGCCATACTCAGTGACTCGTGGTTCTGTAATAGAGGCAGCCTCGGAGTCCGGGAGGCTCTGTCAACGGGGCGGCCGCACAGGCCGCAAGCCTTACTAGTAAGCGCGGCGCGGCCGCCCGGCCCGGCCGAGCCTGACACGGAGGCTGCCGTTCAACGGTTCAAGCCTCAGACTGAGTCAGCGGCCGGGCGGCTTCAAGCCCGAACCGACCGTACGGTGCACTCAAGGCCGCCCGGCGGCCCGGTTGCGGCCCGGCCCGGCCCGGTACCCGGTGACCGCGGCGACCCGCCTAGTACGGTCACTAGGCAATATCATTGAGTTGAACTTTATCCGGGACCTGTAAAAGGCACCTTCGGTTTTGAAATTTATCAACAAAATTTGATGAATATTTTCAAACCATTTTTAGGACACTTTCCAAAAATTTGCAATTCGACGACTGAATTTCCAATAAAACTAATTTATACAGCTCTACATACTTTTTATTAGCCATTTATGGTACTGAAAGCTGTACCAGTCATCATTTTGTACATATGTATATATATTTATATTTGATCAGTCGGTCGATGTATTTTGAAATCAAAATGAAACGAATTTAAAAGTTGACACCAGAACATGTCCGGGGCTCAACGAGTAGGACACCTCACATTCCACCCACCCCCACCACCCTCCCTACTACCCCGGGAAAACCCTTCCCAACCTCTGACCCTACCGGTTCAGCACCCTACCCTACCTTTTCCTTCACTACTACCTCGCCGTTCAAACTCGTCCCAACCTTATGACCCCCCTACCCTGCTGATTCCCCTTGATCTCTATCGCTACAGGTACCCCCTACATTTAGCTTCCTTTATTCACCCCGAAGTCACAACCCCTGCTCTCCCACACCCACCCCTCGGAACATCATTCACTTGTCCCCACCCAACTGTATGGAACTCAGTCTAACCCTACCCTGGTGAAACGGCACCTCCTGTTCTGTGCTGAGCATGAAGGGCAACCTGATACCTTACCTCATTTTATTATTGCTTCAATTACAAATATCTTCTCTTTGATAATCTAGTTTCACACCATCGTTACGAGGTTCGACACAACCCCTCCATGTTCTTATACCACCCCCGGTAGCTCGAGTCACCGAGGTAATCTCATCCCTTACCTGCCCTGCAGTGATTCCTACCCACCCACCCTATGATATACACAAGAGTTGGAAGCACCCGTATCATCGAAAGACTACCCCGCAAATTCTCTCAAGTTGCTTGGTCAAGACCCAGGTACACAGCCTACCCTACCGTACTCTGTAACCTCATTATTTCTCTACCCCTTCTTTCCCTACAATTTCAGTACTCCTCGCCTTACCGACCCTACCCTGCCCTGGAATGTTTATATTCCACCCCACCATACATAACCTCCCTCATACCTACCCTACCTACCATATTTAGTATGCGGCATATGGCCCCAGGACCCACCAGGAAGAACCGCCCTGCCCAAGGACCCACCCATCTACTTCACACTTCTAAAGTACCCCTGATGATTACCAAATAGTACCCCACCCTTAGTGGACTGTACTCCCAGATTTCCATCTTCCGCGCCGGTCTCACCACCCCCTCTAGACAAGCAACCAACCCCAAGACCCCTTGTGCGCATGACTCGGACCACCCATCCCTAAGGCTGTATCTGTGTATCCATACACCTCTTTCTTATCAAGGAGGTCTCTTCTGATAATTTTTGCCCAAGGTCTCTTATTTATCTAGTGAAATACTAATATATTATGGCATACTTCATCTCTTTGCCCTTTCATCTCTACTTCATATAACCCCCGTAATGAGCAACCCCAATTTTAGAATACCCTACCCAGCGAAAAATATCCTCATGGCCGATGTACCCCTTGCTAATCACCACCCCACAATCTCCCATTTCCGCACAATGACCCTACCCCTTTCAATGTCTAAAATGACCCCTCCTTTACAGACACTCTTTGCCATTACTCACCACCCTACCCCCTTTGTGCATATTACCGCGCCGGGCCCCTTCCCCTTCTCTATGCAGTCCTCGGTCTCATCGTTGTAACCCTCCCCAGCATGCTGTTCCTCATCTGCTCCAGCGCTCTCCTCTTCCTCTGCTGGCTCTGCAAACTATACCCACTCACTATCAGCAGTTCTCCCTTGCTTCTTCTCTTCCCTGCTTCTTCCTGTTGCTCTTGAGGTTGCTCTTTGCTCCGGCGTTCGATACCCTCATAGCTGCATCTGCAGTTGAATGTCCCTCCTTCCTTTTTCCGTGTCTCTCTCATTTTTCACCTCTTCCTCATTTTGGAGGCCCAGCTTGTTAAACGAACTTGTTTGCTAACCCTTCAACTGGTTGTTTACACTTTGATCTCTTGGTCAGACTCAATTTCTTTCTAGAAAACTCATTTGCCTTCTAGAATGTCTGTTGGGTAATTAAACCTTGCTTCTTTCACTTCTCTGTTGCATGGTTTCAGTTGGATGCTCCTTGAATGACAGAGTGATCTATGGCTAAGTATGATAGAATGTATGACTGCCACACTGAACTGTAATGCCTTGGTAGACGAAGTACCACGAATGATGTATGTTGTGTAAGGCTGAATTAATCCTCATCGTGTGATGTGGTCGATTGAATCATAGAGAGTGGCATGAAATGAAAGTGAAAGTATTTGGATTGCATAGATATCAGTGAGCTGTTCTTGTGCCTGACTTTGGTGTATACAGGACGTCTCGGCGAACCCCTTCGTTGCGTTGAGGCTACTTTCAGCAGTTGAATTAATGTGCAGCATGGAGAGCTGATATGGTTGAGTCTGCATCCTTTTTCACTCGATCATGGATCTAATCTATATCCGAAGGATATGATAAGCACTGCCCATTGATCAATCACACCTTTGCCTTTGCCGTGTCAACTTTACGAAAGGGCCCGGAATGGTGCACTTTGACCAGTCCTATCGCTCATGATGTTCTGCCAATCGCCCTGAATGTAAGATACCTGGCTGTAACCATTTGTATGCTACCCCTCAGATTCTTACACTGAACCCTCCCAATCGAAAATCAACCATGACAGACTAGAATGCCAAATTCTCTCTATATTTGATTGTTGTCATGTGATTTCATTTGAGAAACCCTCTCTTGACTTTCTGCTGTAGAACAAGTTGACAGAAGTGTAACTTGTCTCATTGATCGCAAGGCGAAGTACAAAAGAAAACGTGTGAAATTTGTGTTGGATTTAACCTGACATAGTCAAGTTCTTTTGCAAATGGCTGTCCCGAAAGAAGCAATTAACGATGGATCATGTCCCATGGAATCAGTGGACCCTAATGAGACCGATGTCTCGGCTGACGAGGCAATCAAGACCCCGGACGCGTCAGAACGAAAAGATGAGCAGGACGATACTAATGAATCCACGTCAAAGAAGAGGAAAAAACGAACTTCTTCCGAAGAAGTTGATTTGGGAAATGCTTTCATTCAAGTAATGATTATCAGTCTCACATTAATTTTGTTGATGGTATGTTTCCAGGTACGTGCTCTGAAATGGAGGCAGGAATGGATGCGGTCTCAAATTGAGCTGCTTGCCCTACAACGAGATCTGCTGCTCAATGCTTTGAACAAGGCACGGGCCGAAAAATGTCAGTGTACATTACACCTACCTTCAAAGAGAGGGCATCATGCAGTTTCTGCTGGGTTTCCAAACGGGATGAATAGTGCAGATCATGGAAATGAGAAGACAAGTAGCAATGAAGAGAGTGAGATCAGAAACAATGACGTTGGGTTTGCGGAGTCGTCGTGGGGGTGTGTTCGTGCAGTCGATTGGAAACAAACACTAGGAGGGCGAAGGCGCAAGCTTGTCCAGGTGAACGTCAAGAATGTCTTGAGGATGGCAAGTTGATCATATCCATTTGTAGGCCGCTATGCCAGTGAGTGTACTACAAAGGGAAGCTCATGAACAAGAAGCTCGAAAACGGCATCGATCTGGAGTTGCTATGTCATTCACGAAAGGGTACTATTTTGCTTTCTAATGTGATGTGTTCTCACAAACATGTGCACAGAGCGAATGGTTTTCGCACAGACAACAGGTTAATTCCTTTGCTCACTGCAAATCATTTTGTGTTAGTGATTCCATGGAATAGCAAATTGCAAGAAAGAGATTCGAATGGTAGATTTGCTGGGCATGGAAAAGATTTATCGCTAAACACGAACGGCACCCGGAAGTTGGTAACCTCTACAGGACAGAAGGTATTGAACATCAGGTTGTATGGATTTCAATACTGAAATTCCTGCTTTTGTTTGTTTGTTAATGACAGGTGGTAATCAAGTTGTCTGGCAAGAGTACGTCTCCGAAATCACCCGCACCGAGCAATGGAAAGAATGGGAAAAATTTTGCTTCATCGCGTTCAGATGGGGATCCACACACTCCTTGCAGCACGAAGAAGAACAAGTCAATTGCTGCGCTGACGGGGCAGAGATCAGCTGCTTCATCACCCAGGCTTGGACCCTCATCAATGCCCAACACTCCAAGGGATTCTTCGAGTACCAGAGATTGGGGTGAGTCGATGTTTCCACAAATTTTGACTTGAAGTTGAGTCTTGTCTGTCAGGAATTGATGATTACGTCTATGGGGGCCCGAGAGTACAGACAAAAATAGAGATAGTGAAGGCCAAAGAGATTGAGATTCCAAATTGGCGTGTGATATCTCAGAGGAAGGAGGTTGTTTATCAGAGAAGCAGGAGTATGTCTGTTGGTTCCAAGTATGCAAAACCAAGAATGCAACTGAGCCCCAGCAACGGTGCGTCAAATGATGGAGGCCAGAACGAGAGCAGTGAGGAGATCACCGATGATGAAATATACTATCGGCGCCATAGACCCTACGAGGAGCAAGAAATTAAGTTTAGGTTTTCATTTTAGTTCCTTGATAATGTTACTTGTTTACCTAGTGGCAGATACCCGAAACAGCAAGAAAGGCAACAGAAGCACCGAGACAGTCTGCAAAAGGAAGGTGGAAACCTTGACCGAGTAGAGGAAGCGTATCGAAATCTCTGGTAAGAGGATTCATTAGTTTGTTTCCGCCAAGGTAATGTTCATTTAGGTATCGCCCATCCTCAAGCAGCAACTTCGATGAGGACAATGCAACACGCAACAGGAGGAAAAGCTCAGGAATTCAAAGCTCAAGCGGAGATGAGCGATCTCCGAGAACAGACACATCTGGGCATAGCATGACCAAAGTAGGCCGCAAGTGCCAGGGCAAGAGAGGATCGCCGGGTCACAAGATCCCTTCGAGAGACGGGTGACACGCGATGGCTGAGGAGGGGAGGGAGACTGATAAGGAACCAGGGACTGGAAGGATTCTCCGTCAGGAGAAGGCGTCGGTATCGCATAGTCGAACTTTCACGCTTGAAATGAATGTTGAATATTAAAGAAACCAGTGTAGGCTACAAATGCATTACACTTGTGTTGGTGATGCTGGTGCTGGTGGGAAGAGGAGAAAAAGGATGAAAACAAGATGAGGAGGCAGCGAAGGAGATTTTTCATAATTTCAGTTACTTTAGTCTGCTATGGTTACACAGGAAACAATAAATGTGAAAGAGGATGACATGTGCGGATCCACCTTACAAGATGATAGTCTTTGAAGTCATGCTTGTGCCCGGTGACGCCGGATAGGCCTCGTGGAACTCGTCGGGCTCTGCGTCGATGGGAGCGAGGTCCTGGGAGGAGTAGAGGAAGCTAGACACGAAGACGGCGCCGCTAGCAGGAGGATGCCGGGGGAAGCGGAAGGAAGGGAAGTCCTCCGTCTTCAACTCAGCGATCTCTGACTCGTCATCACTTGTCACTGTCTCTCTCTGGTAGTACGAGGGCGTGGAAGGGCTTTGCGCTGACGGCAACTCGCTGCCCTGCATGACGATGGAAGCTGAGACCGATCCTCCTTCCAACGATATCTGAGCAGGCCAAAACCTGCCGAGAACGCTGCCCTGTGCTTCGATCAAACGCGGAGAGACTGTAGATTCTTGTTCGATCTCCTGGAAAATCGGCTCTTCTGCTTCTTCATCAAGATGTGTCTGCTGCTCGTGCTCGTGCTCGTGCTCGTGCTCCTCATCCTGCTGCTGCTGCTGCTCATCCTGCTGCTGCTGCTGCTGCTCATCCTGCTGCTGCTGCTGCTGCCCTCGTTCTCCGTTCAATTCTCGAGTCATGGAGTCAGGAAGACCTTCAGGGTTATCATGCAATACAAGAGAAGCTGAGGCCAGGCCAGTATCTGCCATGACTGGAGAAAACTCCTCCACGATGTCTTCAGCCTGCCTTGCTTTCTTGGAGTATCGATATACCACCAGGGATGCACTCATAGTCACCATCACTCCAACTCCGCCGCCAATCAACCCGAGGATCAACCCAAGAGGGGCCGCGTAGGGCTTTGGGGTTGTTGTTGACGATGCTGGGGTGCTGGAGACCGTGACAACGACGGAGGCGTTGGAGGAGAGGGAAGGGATTACTGGCGGGTCGGCAGCCATAGACATGTATCCTGAGAAGTGATACACAAGAGCCCTTGTGAGGTTCTTTCCCGGAACCACTTCACTTTCTTGTCTTTGCCAGGGAGGGAACGCTGACTCATTGTTGTAGAAGACGAACGCGGACTTGCCTGGTGGAATCCTGGTGGGGTCAAAGGGAGTGAAGATTTCCACTGGCTTTTCAAACCTTATGCCAGATGGCTCGAATACAACGACTGGCCCAGCAGGAGTGATGGTGTCCTTCTGGACGCCGACGTCAAGGTTCTTCACTTCATAGACATCCACAGAGATCGTGATTCCACTCGTGAGAGCTCCCGCAGGGATTCTAACACCAATTCCGCTGCTAGACGTGATGGTTGCTGGAGCATCAGGGACTACTTGTTTCGGAGGAGGGCTGTCAGCTAGCTTGACAGCTGTTTGGTTACATGTGAAACCAAACTGGCCTGTCAAACACACACATTTGTCCACGACAACCAACCCTTGGCATGTGAACTCACAGTTTGGACCAAAGCGTGGAAGAACGCATGAGGGTTTTGGGAGGTCTGTGAAGCTGAGAGGCCATTGTGCAGAAAATGTGGGAACAGAAGTGTTGGGCAAATCTGCGATGCACTGGAAACAAGAGGCTTCAACTTGGACTGCGGTTTGCGGAACGAGGGGGCTGGAACCAACAAGAGTGAAGAACAAAAAATTTGTGTCAGGATTCGTGACGTTGACAGTGAGGAACCCTGATGTAATATCCCATGAGGCCTTGGGAGACAAGTCGGTGCTGACAATATCAACAGTCGTCTGATTTGTGCTCAACTTAAGCCCTCCGATGGTAACAGTCGTTGCAGACTTGAAATAGAAATTCGCCGAAACAGTGACACGGAAAAGGCAAGTAGACTTGGTGTAGGTGGTATTGGCGAAGATCTGCACTCCAGAGAAAGCAGGGGGGTTGATGAGACGACAAACTGAGAGCTCACTCAATGTAGTGCACGTCCACAGTCTTTCAATCGTGCAGAAAGAGCTGCAGCCGTCATAAGGTCGTGTGTTCCCATCATCGCACTGCTCGTCCAACTCCTTTACGCCATTGCCGCAAACCGAAGCAGGTGTGGTAGTTGGAACAAAGACTGATACGCTTGTTTTATCCGGGAGCGTTTCGGTCGTTTCGATCGGCGTTGACAACGCAACCTGCGCCGTGGTCGACGAGGTCGTGGCCTCTGCCGTCGTCGTCGTTGAAGCTATGACTGCCGTCGTCGTAGAGGTCGTGGCCTCTGCCGTCGTCGTAGAGGTCGTGGCCTCTGCCGGCGTCGTAGAGGTCGTGGCCTCTGCCGTCGTCGTCGTAGAGGTCGGGGCCTCTGCCGGCGTCGTAGAGGTCGTGGCCTCTGCCGTCGTGGAAGAGGTCGTGACCTCCGCCGGCGTCGTAGAGGTCGTGGCCTCTGCCGTCGTCGTCGTAGAGGTCGGGGCCTCTGCCGGCGTCGTAGAGGTCGTGGCCTCTGCCGTCGTCGTAGAGGTCGTGGCCTCTGCCGTCGTGGTAGAGGTCGTGGCCTCTGCCGTCGTCGTAGAGGTCGTGGCCTCTGCCGTCGTCGTAGAGGTCGTGGCCTCTGCCGTCGTCGTAGAGGTCGTGGCCTCTGCCGTCGTGGTAGAGGTCGTGGCCTCTGCCGTCGTCGTAGAGGTCGTGGCCTCTGCCGTCGTCGTCGTAGAGGCGGGGGCCTCTGCCGGCGTCGTGGTAGAGGTCGTGGCCTCTGCCGTCGTCGTGGTAGAGGTCGTGGCCTCTGCCGTCGTGGTAGAGGTCGTGGCCTCTGCCGTCGTCGTAGAGGCGGGGGCCTCTGCCGTCGTGGTAGAGGTCGTGGCCTCTGCCGTCGTCGTAGAGGTCGTGGCCTCTGCCGGCGTCGTCGAGGTCGTAGCTTCTTCTGATGAACTCGCGGCTGGCGTCGTGGTAGAGGACGTCTCTTCCTCTGCTGCCGGCGTGCTGGAGCTGGACGACTCGATCGGCGTCGAGGTCTCTCCTACCCCCTGCTCTGCCTCGGCTGTGCTTGATGATTGCTCTTGTGCTGTCGGCTCCGGCGTCGTGGTAGAGGACGTCTCTTCCTCTGCTGCCGGCGTGCTGGAGCTGGACGACTCGATCGGCGTCGAGGTTTCTCCTACCCCCTGCTCTGCCTCGGCTGTGCTCGATGACTCCTCTTGTGCTGTCGGCTCCGGCGTCGTGGTAGAGGACGTCTCTTCCTCTGCTGCCGGCGTGCTGGAGCTGGACGACTCGATCGGCGTCGAGGTCTCTCCTACCCCCTGCTCTGCCTCGGCTGTGCTCGATGATTGCTCTTGTGCTGTCGGCTCCGGCGTCGAGGTCTCTCCTACCCCCTGCTCTGCCTCGGCTGTGCTCGATGACTGCTCTTGTGCTGTCGGCTCCGGCGTCGTGGTAGAGGACGTCTCTTCCTCTGCTGCCGGCGTGCTGGAGCTGGACGACTCGATCGGCGTCGAGGTTTCTCCTACCCCCTGCTCTGCCTCGGCTGTGCTCGATGACTGCTCTTGTGCTGTCGGCTCCGGCGTCGAGGTCTCTCCTACCCCCTGCTCTGCCTCGGCTGTGCTCGATGACTGCTCTTGTGCTGTCGGCTCCGGCGTCGTGGTAGAGGACGTCTCTTCCTCTGCTGCCGGCGTGCTGGAGCTGGACGACTCGATCGGCGTCGAGGTCTCTCCTACCCCCTGCTCTGCCTCGGCTGTGCTCGATGACTCCTCTTGTGCTGTCGGCTCCGGCGTCGAGGTCTCTCCTACCCCCTGCTCTGCCTCGGCTGTGCTCGATGACTCCTCTTGTGCTGTCGGCTCCGGCGTCGTGGTAGAGGACGTCTCTTCCTCTGCTGCCGGCGTGCTGGAGCTGGACGACTCGATCGGCGTCGAGGTCTCTCCTACCCCCTGCTCTGCCTCGGCTGTGCTCGATGATTGCTCTTGTGCTGTCGGCTCCGGCGTCGTGGTAGAGGACGTCTCTTCCTCTGCTGCCGGCGTGCTGGAGCTGGACGACTCGATCGGCGTCGAGGTCTCTCCTACCCCCTGCTCTGCCTCGGCTGTGCTCGATGACTCCTCTTGTGCTGTCGGCTCCGGCGTCGTGGTAGAGGTCTCTCCTACCCCCTGCTCTGCCTCGGCTGTGCTCGATGACTGCTCTTGTGCTGTCGGCTCCGGCGTCGTGGTAGAGGACGTCTCTTCCTCTGCTGCCGGCGTGCTGGAGCTGGACGACTCGATCGGCGTCGAGGTTTCTCCTATTGTTTGCATTGTAGAAGTTGCCTCGATCGTTTGAGCTGCCGGCGTGCTGGAGCTTGATGAAGCGAGAAACGTTGGACTCGATTCTGGAACATTGAGGGTCGAGCTTGGATTTGTCTCGAATGTTGTAATGTCCAAGATTGGTGTGCTGGAACTTGATGACTCTGTGAAGTTAGAGACTTCTATGGTGTATGTTGAGCCTATAATTGGAGTGCTGCTGGAGCTGTAGAATGGAGTGCTGCTGGAGCTGTAGAATGGAGTGCTGCTGGAGCTGGAGATGACCGTGGAGAACGTCGTTTGTTGTGCATTAGCTGGATCATCCATAAAGTTAGCCATGTATCTTCTAGAACATCTTCGAACAGAAAGTAACATCAGCGCTTTTACACTGTTTGAAAACCGAACAAATGATAGGAACATAGAGAAGGGAGCATAATCATGCATCTAAGCAATAAACGATAACACGTGCTTCTTTGTACATGCAGGGGGTGATTTAGAGATCAACGAAATCATCACCGAAAGGCAACATGAGGAGAACCGGTGCCAACAACGCTATGAAATTTTCATAAAAATCACCTTGGATTGTATCGAGACAGAACGATAGTTGTATGAACAAAGGTAACATCCAGGACTGCGGACCCTTGCTCCTCCTCCTTGTCCGCATTCCCCCCCCTTCCTGGCGGCAATCGTCTGCCATTCCGCAGCCACCCCACCCTACCCGTCCAATGCCTTTATCCTTGTATCAGATCACCCTCAGTAGTATTGGGTCAATAGTTTCGAGTCTTTGTACCGGTACTTAGAACGGACTTTAGAGGGGTGGTCCTTTGATTATCAACGAGAATTCTCGCGAGACATCATTAACCGATTCAGCTACTAGACTACCCCTCCTTTTCACCAACTTTCACCCCCACCTCTCACTTTCAATCGCACCCCCGGCTGTACCGAACACCACTACCCCCACTTTCCAGGCAATCAAATCGACCCCCTACCCCCTCCTTTGCCACATCCGTACCCCCTTCCATCCCCTTCCACCTGCATTTTAAAACTCAAAAAGTTTATCCTGTCTTCAAATACACCCCATCCCCTCTCCTGTACCCCTCCCGTGGAGCTAATTGGACCCACCCTTCGACGAAACTTGTTGGCGATCCTGACCGAACCACCCTACCCCGCGCCCCCGCCTCTTTGGACCTCCAAGAGTCAACCTTGACGGCCTCGGAGTCGCTCTGTACGCCCCCCCGTGCCCGTCGAATATCAACTGCACCCCCACCCCCCCGTTTATTTCACCCCACCCCGTATGTTCCATCAAAATCTCTTCTATGGTACCGGTGAAGGCTTCAGTGAGTCCTCACATTGCAAAGTACCCCTACCCCCGGAATTTGGAGATTGCACCATCTGATCGTATGACCCACCCCACTACGGTGCGCCCTGCTATGACTTTCGAGTGTCTCCAGTCACGAGTCAAATACTACCCCCCTTTTCCTCACTCAAAGTACCCCTTATGTGGACTTTTACGGAGCATCCCCTTGACCTGACACCCTGACCCTCTACGTGATCCATATTATAAGCCGGGGGGTACCCCAGTGTTTCTCTATATCCCACTTCCTAGGACCCCTCTATGACCCTTCTATAGAGAATTCCGAAGTCAGAAGCGCGGTCACGGCTGCCTTAGTTGTGACCGTTACACCACGTTCGGATATACGGACGGCGGTTGAAGACACGGTCGTTATAGACGTTACAATTCTAACGACCATCGGGCCCCGGTGTGCATCTGACTGAGGCGGGTCACTGGATGATCCTGCTTTTCCGACAAGGCAGAGCAAGAATGCTGCGGTACGCCCATGCAAGTGCGGCTAGGTGGAGAAAGATGGCAGGGGAAAGGATCTGTGCTGTGCGGGTTGGGGTCAGGATGAGGTTAACAGCTGATATGGGGATAGTAGGGGGGAGGGAACATTCCATGTGGATATTCCTGCGACGGTTTAATGTGCTCCGCGATACAAACAAGAGGTCGCTGACCTTGCCATCTCCCGCGGCAAAGAAGGCTTCCAGTGCGGTGTGGTTGATGGGTGGTGTCGTGGGTGTTGCAGGATATGCAGCTGGTGTGTATGCGACGATGAATGCATGTGCTAAGCCCTCCTCCACATGCTCGCCGGTCACGGAAGAGGACAGGAAGGCTGCGTATGAGCATGGAGCTTCAACCTACGAGAAGGATGTCTGCTCCGGGGAGGCATGGCTTGGGATAGATAAGGCTCGTAAGGCGCTGCTACATCATGCTCGGGGCAAGGTGCTCGAGGTTGCATCGGGGACTGGACACAACTTTGATCTGTATCCATCAGATTGCCGGATTACAGCAGCAGACAACTGTGAAGCGATGGCGAAGATTTGCCAGTCCAAGAGCTCGCCAAACGTGGAATCAATCCACGTGATGGACACTGCAGACTTGAAGTTCCTGGATCAGAGCTTCGACACCGTTGTCGACACGTTTGGGATCTGTAGCTACGAAGATCCCCTGGCAAGCTTGCAGGAAATGCAGAGGGTGTGCAAGGTGGACGGGAAGATTCTGCTGTTGGAGCACGGTCGTTCCTGGTTTACACCTCTGAACTGGATGCTCGATAGATCTGCAGCGAACCATGCGAAGAAGTAGCGATCGTATCCGCCCCATTACCGCCTGCTCACTCCTGGTGATTGCAGGTGGGGCTGCTGGTGGAATCGAGACATTAGAGACATCGTCAGCAAGTCAGGTCTGCAGGTGAACATAGAGACTCGGAGGTTTCATGTCATAACTGCTGTTTCTCATACCAGGTCGTGGAAAGCAAGTCATATCACTTAGGGACAACACACTTAGTCGTTGCAAAAAGATCTATTTGATATGGCATTTCGTGTTTCGACGAGCACAACATTTCACAAATCTGTTTGTACTGAATATCTATCCTCACTCGACACAATTCAGCATCATGAGCTCTAGGAGCTTGTCGTTTTGGAACCACCTTCACAGGAACGTTCAGAGACTTGGATCAATCTGCTCTCGTTAGCCACCTGAGGGTGCCTGCGAAGTGGTAGGGATTGGAGGAGTTCCCAGGAGCGCTGCTGCCGCTCCTGTCGGACGCACTTGTATCAGCGCTGAGACAGCAGCGTAGCTCGCACCCTATGTGCTCTAGTTAGCAGCCCAAACCTCCTCCTCACAAGGCCAACCTGAAACTGCATCGCGACTGGGTCGTATTCACCTGGTCTCACACGATCTGCAACACAGTATTCAGACGAAGAATACGCAAGAGCATGCTTCACTTGGAATTAATGCATTCGCTTGATCTCTTCCAAACTTATCCTCCAGCATTTGTTGCCAAATTCTCTTCCTCGCATTGACAAACCAATTGGAAACCTGTTGTGTTGTAATGTTTGCTAGTGCTGCCAGCTCTACTTTGTCCTGATCCGTCGGGTAAGGCCGTTTGATATTGTTTCGCATCCACTCTTTGAGAACTGAAACTGATTGTGAGGGCAGGTTCTCCCTCCGTCTCTTCTCTGGTCGAGGGGCATTCGGGTCTGAAAAAAAATCGGGAGGTGCAAGCTCAGAGTCTGACAGTACGCAAGAAGAAGTACCTTGCTCGTTCGAGCTGGAATGATCGATCGATGGCCTGTTGAGCTTCAAGTCACCAGCTCCTGACACTTTTGAATCTGATCTGGCTTGCAGGTGCTCGGTCCACGTGTTCTTGAGGAATTCCAGGTATTGTTCGCAGCATGCATCACGTATCTTGATCAGACTCTCTACCTCTTCACGATGCTGTTTCATGGACGAGATCGCAGATTGCAAAAAGCTTGTCATTTCCTCTGCTGAGACGTCCGGTGCCGCCTCCTCCTTTTGCTCCTTCTCAGAGAAGCTTTCCTTGAGGGAGGGGTGATCCTCTTCAGCAAATTCCTTGAACAAGACTTCCTCTGAGGCCTCCAAAGCTGGGATGGGCCCCAGAACCTAGAAACTATCTCAGCGAACAGCGCAAACAGATCTCTGTCTGCACCGGTCGCTTGCAGAGGACATAAGCTCGCAGGACATCCTGGAAGAGCGGATGGCTTCTCATTTGCTTTCTGTATTTCTTTGGCGCCTTAGATGGTTTCTGCTCCATTGTAAGTTTCGCTCACATAGATGCTGAACAAACGAGTACAAAGCGAAAGCTTGGTAAGTTGGAAGTTTCCTCAGTCATCTTAGAGCTCCAACAAGTCTTCCTGCGGACCCAGGAGTTCAAACGAGTTAGAGACTACAGATACACTCGTGTGCTTATTGATTCCAATCAAACTCAAAAGTACACCCACTACCCCTTGATTGAATGATGAACGCACAAAATTTGAAATTCAGGCTCAATCTCGTCAAAAACACCTGTGGACGGTCGATGCACAAAAACTTCTCATTGTCTCTTGTTTCACAATGCAAAGAAAGGCAATGCAAGGATGCGACAACTGACAGACCGGCAACGCAGCTCTGGACAACACCCCGAACCAAGGATCTAAGGACAGCATGAAAACGGTTCTACACGGCTGGGTGTGTGGAGCATTGAGCAAGTGACAGGACAGATAAGGGGAGGGGAAGAGGAAGAGGACATGCTAGCAAAGCACGCATCCATGAGCTGGAGCAAGGAGACAGGTCAGCATGTTGCGAGCTCAGAGAGTATGTCACGCTGGGCCGGCGCCATCAGGGCGGCTGAACGGGCGATCAAACTCAAAACCATGATGATGACCCCGACCACCGGTCCTTTTGTGCGTTAACACCCTCTGTTTCCCCTAATGGGTTGTTTTTTTTTAAATCCAAAGTACCCGGTCCTTACAGAGCAACTGACAGTAATTAACACCCCTCCAATTGCAGAAAGGTGACTAACCCTACCCCCATCCTTTCCTAACCAACAATGACCCCCATCTATCTATCTATCCCTGATTTTGTTCTGTAGGAGGAACAACTGAAATGTTCTTCACAGGGAACGATTTTTATCATGTAGTTCCTGCCGGGCTGGGGATGGGAGGGAGGGGGAGGGGGAGGGGGAGGGGGAGGATAAGGACGAGAAAAGGATGGGGGGACAGGGAGAGATGTAGTAAGAGGAAGATACAAGGGTAGAAACCGTCATGCCAGCAGCAGGAGTAGCGAGGTACGAGCAGGAGTAGTAGGAGTTGCAAGCTGAGGAGACAAAGGCCGTCCATAGGAATCTCTTGCGATGATTCTATGGAAGGGCTGTATTCCATCAATGACTAGCCATGCTGCAGAGATGGGCGAAATCTTCTCGCAGCTGGCCAAGGACCTGAGCAGCTCTTCGAGGCATAGGGAGGCAGGGGAAGCGAATGAAGATCTCAACATTTCTGCTCCGTCAGACTTCAAGAGGTTCACCACTAGCTCTAACAATCGTCTCTTTCCTCTTTGATGATACCTCTCTGCAACATCACTTCTTCAACTCTGCAACTGTCCAACATCCTCCTTCCTGTCCCAGTCCCTCCCACCCTCCTTGCCGTCTCTGCCTGACGCTCCTTCAGAGGTGTCCACATGGAGCATGACCCGGTCAAGAACATCGTCAGTGGGGTACCCGACGCATGGCGCGATGCGCTCTCCGACAGCTTTACGCTCCATGAGGGGGAGGGGAGCGGCGATGTCCCTGCATACCTCATCCCCACCAACTGGTCCTCCCGGCGGGTAGGAAGGAGGAGGCAGGCGGGGCTTGTGTAACTGCAGGGCTGCCGAAGGACTGGGAGGATCTCCTCCTCTCATCGGGGATCAGTAAGGAGGACGCGCTCGAGCATCCACAGACAGTCCTGGACGTGCTGGAGTTCACAGCTGGGGGGATGTACCGGTGAGGAGGAGGCCTGGCTGCTGCAGCCCTGCTCCGCTGATCCAGCTGAGCAGTCCCGTGAGGGAGAGGAAGGTCAAGCTGCCGGCAGAGAGCTCAGTGCTGGAGAGGGTGAGGAGAGCAGAGGGCGCGGCCCGGCGCCTCCAGCATGATCCTTCCATGGCAGGTGCGGAATGCGATCTCGATGAAGCTGGAGGACCCGATGCTTGCCTTCAGCGGCTTCACTGAGATCGGGAAGGGAGGACACGGATGCGTCTTTCTTGCCAACGAGGTAAACCCAGCAGGCTCAACTCGTTGCGTTTCTTGTGCCCCCCACGTCAGCAAGAGGTTGCCTTGTGTCCCTTCTCGGGTGCATGAACGCCGTTGGTTACCCCCAGCGCCTCCCTGTGCTGACCGCATCTTGCGGCTGTCGTCGTGATCTGACGAGGTTGTGTCAAGATCTCGTCGAAGAAGCTCATGGCGCTAAAGAGGCTCGAGATCGGAAAGCTGACCAACATGGCGTCTCTCGAGAACGAGATCGCCATGATGACGCTGAGCAAGCATCCCAACGTCGGTGAGATCGAGCGGAAGGTTGCCGTGAGGTTGTGGGGCTGTTGTGGAGCTGTGATTGTTGTGTGTGCTACATGATGTGGAACTCTGAGCAAGATCTGTGGCTCGTTGCGTCAAGATGTAGTCTTTGTGCTTGTTGAAAGGCTACTGGAGATGATCTGTGATGAAGTTGTGTTCCCTGGCATCAGATCCAGCGCCTTTGTCGTCACTTCCCTTCTCTGACGAGTGCTTGCAGTGGAATTCTTCGATTCTTATCTCTGGAAGAATTATCTCTGGATTGTGATGGAGGCGATGGAGCGAGGGTCTCTCATGAGTCTCATCCGGTATCGCCTCCTGCTCCCGCTCCTGCTCCTGCTCCTGCTCCTGCTCCTGCTCCTGCTCCTGCTCCTGCTCCTGCTCTCCTTGTTCCTCCTGCTCCTGCTCCTGCTGCTCCTGCTCTCCTTGTTCCTCCTGCTCCTGCTCCTGCTCCTGTTCTTCTTACCCCTCGTGCCCATGCCCTTGCTTCTGCTCCTACCCTTGCTTCTCATGCTCCTCTTCCTCTGCAGTCCTGTTCCAGCATCTCCTCCTCTTCCCATTGCTTCATCCCGCGCAATTACCTGCATCCTCTAACTAGTTGTTGACCTCCTCTTGCCCTTGCCCGGCTCCTCTCACTCTCTCCTGCCTTCAGCTCGAAGAAGCAGCTGAAGGAGGACATGATAGCCTACTTCTGCAAGCAGATTGTCTCCGCTCTCTCCTTCCTCCACATGCACGGTAGAATTCATCGAGATATCAAGGTGCTGCCTCCTCCTCCCTCC